TGGGGAGTTTCATTCATTCATTATAGATTAAGGGCCCCGGTAGGGGCATTACGTAAGATGACCACATTCCAGTTACTCCTGATACTAATAAACTCAGTATCACATATTTGAGCATGGCGAAAGCCATGTGGTGCTGGGATAATAGTGTACATGCGCCTTGGTGATTTTGCAGAGACTTTCTGTGCGCCTTACGGATTCTGTAAACGACGGCTGTTGTAGAAATGAATCTACTCCAGATCGTTCGCTTTTTCTGTTTTCCTTCTTGTAGGGGTGTGGAGCAGAAGGGAAAATTTGAGATCGTATGTGCCTCGTACGGCCGTCGTCAAAAGATTCGTCATTTCGTGTTAAAAATTCTGAGTTCGAACGAGGCAAAGACACTGCCAAGCTGCCAAGACCCCTCTGCAGCGTCAATTCGTGCGTGTTCTATGTGAACGTTTGACTATATTAATTTAAATGTCGATGGCATTTCAAAGACTTATCAATTATCTGCAAAATAGTTCATTTTATCGCAACTGCGGGCCCGTAGATTTTTTGTTTCTTGTTTTTCATTACCATTACCGCAATGGCAGCAATGACATTTTAAAGCTCGCCATTTTTTATATCTTCCGTTCGTATCAACTCTTTGCAGCTGCCTAGTTTCCGCTAGAGCTTCGATGTATTCTTATATTTCCTGTTGTGCACGTGCTTCGGGCGTGCATGGGTCGACAGTATTGATATTCAGGTATCCGCGAAGGGCTCCACATTGTATCTGAGGCTGTGTACCTGCTGTGTTACTGACCACGCATCCCGATTAGGATTAGGCGGCTTCACGTCAGAAATAGAAGATTCCGTACTATGTTCTACTTTCAGGTATAGGAAAGCAAGCTGAAGTATTTGACATTTTTATTTTGGGAAATTTTGAGACTTGCAGTGCGAAATCTAGACTTCTTTTTTCCCCCCTTATCTCGAGAAGGACACGTGTATTCTTCCGTTATCGTCGAAATATGGCGGACAGAAGAAGCTGGACGCGGGTACTCGAAAGATCTTTCTCCTTATGTCGAAAAATCCTATAAGCGCCAGCTTCGCCAAGTAACTGGGGACATTCTCACTAATGCCTTTGCCTGGACTGCTCCTAAATTCACTCGAGCTGCCGATCACTAAGTGATACCTCGCTTCAAGGATGAGGTAAAGTTCTACATGGTGCAAATGCTGCTTCGCAATTTTCGGTTTCGTAAAACTTCAACTGCTGCTCGCGGTTTTTTTTGTTTTTTTTTTTTTGTCCTGGCGACCGATGTCGCAATTGAGAATAAAAAAACTCGCAAACAAAATCTAACCATGTGAGACAGGCTTCGGTGGAAAACAACGCGTTTAACCCTTTTGCTACTGAGGCTGCCCGACCATTGGAGTGCGTTAAAACCAGACATGTGCTCGTTACTGAAATAAAGTAACCAAATGTTCAAACTCACTCGAAAAGTAACTAAGTACGTACGTTAATCGTTACTGCGATCAAAAGGATTGCGTTACCTGAGACTGAAAGTAACACATTATTTCCTAGTTACTCAGAATGTGTCTTTTTTATCAAGCAGTAGTCGCTTTCAATATTTGTCGTCGTTAATAAATTCTTGCTTTTAACGAGTTCATTCAGGGTTCATTTTGGCTATACTGACATACCTTGTGCACATCGGTTTATGGTCTGTCAGCGTTCCCTCATCAGGTAAATGACAGGCGCGAGCTAAGGTAACAACAAGGCATGGGTACTTGTGTTGTAGACGTTCCTCTCCAGAAGTAACTAAACACTGTTACTCGTTACTGCATCAAAGAGTAACAAAAATACGTTACTCATTCTTTCTCTTTCAAAAGTAACGAGGTCGTTACTTGGTTACCGAAAAAGGTAATTAGGTACAAGGGGTGGCTGGTTCATACATCCGCGACCGGCGATGAACGCCTCCGAAACAACCGGTTTTTAAGCCGCCTTTTCCCGCTTACGGCGGGCTGCGCAGCGGTAGTGGCGGTCGTAAGAGACTTAAAACCGGATTGTGTCGGGGTCGGTCGTAATCGGTCGCAAAAGTGTGAACCAGCTGTAAAGGCGCGTTCACACACTTGGTCTTGACCACGACAGACTTCGACACGACCGGTTTGTAAGCCACTTAGGCTTAAAAACCGGTTTTTAGCCATTAGGCGGCTTCACGCAAGAAATAGAATATACCGTATTATGTTCTGCTTTCAGGCATAGGAAAGCAATGCTTTCCAGCCTAAGATGTCACAAGCCTGTGACCGAACTTTTAAGGCACGCTCACACACTTGCAACTGCTTTGATCGTGCGCATTGAAACTTCTTAAACTCTGTTTGGACGAGGGAAGACACCGTCACCACTTTTTGGGTAGCCGTGGAACACTTAGCCCGTCCTGTATGTTTCCTATCTATTCGTGCATCATTCTTTTCTTTAATTTTTTGGTGATCGAAGAATTTTTGTAAATGTCTTAAACGATAATTTTTTTAATTTTTTTTATAAATAGTACGTACATTTAATCTCGCAAATACCGAAAAAACTTCGTTCTAGTGAAAAGCAGTTCCAGCAGAGTCACCGCATAGGTGGCGCCAGCGTGCCTGTCTGTCACAATTGTGTGAACGCTCTTTAACGCGTTACGGACAAGTCTGGTTATCAGTCGCCCTCATTCCTGGGTATGTTGATTAATTAACGCCATTGGCGTTTAACTCGATCGCGATGGGCACGTGTCCGCGCACGTTTTTCTGAGAGGTTCTTTATATCAAGAAACAAATGTCTGGGCTGAAAAACAGGCAATGGGTGGTTCCATATATGATTTACGGAGCGCGTACAGGGAAGTTCCGTCCCTATCAAGCAAAACTGAGCCAACACTGAAGGGGGCTGTTGCAGCAGTGACCATCTTGGGCCTTACGTCGGCGGCGTTCGTTGCGCCATCTCTCGTCTCCCGTCCGAAACGGCGCCGTGTTGTTAAGAAGACCGGTGGCTTCGCCGCGTTTCCATAGGAGCTAAGCCTTTTTTTTTCTTTACTTTTTCCTCAAGTAAGTTCGCTCTTTGCAAATTTTACAAAAACAAATGCGCCATCTGTGGGCAACGCTGCACAAAGTCGTAGCGCGATAGGTTAAGAGACCGAATTTTGCGGTCAATTTAAAGAGCCTGGCGTCTTTTTGAATCACCCTGTAGAAACTGAAGCCTCGTAGCGACGTATTGTGCGACGCAAGATATATGGTGTTTCTCTTTTTCCTTTAAGTGAGATCTTACTCCGAATATTCGGACTTGAAGCTTAGGCTACGGACCTTATTTTGCAGAAGGCAGTATGTGCAAAATACTGTTTACTTTTAAAACGCGCTCTACGCAGGTACGATGAGAAAGCAACAGCAGAAGGCAAGCCCATAAAAAAAGAGAAAGTATGTGAGTGAGTTAATATCTTTGCAGGGCGAGGAGTCAGTCAATTACGCCGTGAAAACAAGCATCCCAGTAAAAGACACAGTTCAGAAAACGATTAGATCTGAAAAAATGCGATGTGCACCGGGACTATAAAAACGTGAAATGTAAACCTCATTGTACCTACGCAAATCGTCTTTTGTTTTTTAGCCTAATCGTATTTTGATGCTTCTTCATTCGCTGGGATCTTTCTGCAACATGGTGGGAGAGACTTTTTAGTGTTGTGTCGTTTACCCGCAGTCTCGGGGTTTTTTCAACCATGTGCAATGTACACCAGCTCGTTTGCGCCCTTACTTTTTGGGATTAACTCGCTGCGTGGTCTGCATTCTTAAAAGGAAAATTAATTCTTGAAACGTTCTTTGGCGCATCAAGAGAACCTTCAGCTCATTAAGAACGGTCCGACACTTGCAGTATCGCTTTCTGGCGCACTAGAGCGGCGACTGGGCGATTAAGAACTCTTTCGCATCAAAAAAAGAGCTTAAAATAACCCCTTATAGGTTTTTCACGAAGAACCCTTTTAGGGGGTACTGAAAATAACTTTTTAGGGTGAAAAATATGAACATACCGAAGAATCTCTAATTACGTTCTTTTAAGCACCCCCTAAAAAGGGTCTTTGTGAAAAACCTGTAAGAGCTTCTTGTAACCTCCTTTTTTTATGCGAAAGAGTTCTTCATCGCTCAGTTGCCGTTCTAGTGCTCCAGGGGGCGATTGTGCTTGGCGCGAAACCGTTCTTTTAACTAGCTGAAAGAGTTCCTGGGGTGTCAACAAATACTTCAAGAACTGTGCTCTTGTTTAGCGTGTGCAAGAAAGTGAAATTCAATATTATTTTTTGAGTTCATATGTTGTAATTTAATAAATCGCTTTAGAAGAGAAAAATTATTTTTTCTTCTTCATTTGGCCTTCATCATTGGCCGTGTGAACTTCGAAAAATTGCCGTGAATGGCAGTTCGCGTCCTATATGGGGAGCTACACACGCAGGCATGCTTTAGAGCTCAGTATGCGGAAGACACACACTTCTGTTGAGGAGTCTATTCGTGGCTAGAAGTTTGGGTCCCGTCGCCTGGTGAAATTTTTTCACAACCCAGAGCGAGGATACTACAACTTCCTCTGCTGTTGCAAGCAAGTGCAAGGCCAAGCTTCTCTGCACCATGAAAATTAAAACATAACCGTGTCGGAAGCACGTGCACTTCGCATACGCGCGCTTCACACCGCGAATAAAGTATCCAATAAAAAACATAATTTCTCACGCTGCTGAGATTTAGCTTAAACATTCTAAGCTGCGAACAAAATAAAACAAAAAAAGAAATGGATTACGCATTTGCGATAGCTATAGTCACTGACAGCTTAAGAAAGGTGGGGCGTGTCTTATTATCTTTACGCATCTGATTGTTTTTTTTTACATTACTTATCGGCTAATGCCAGACTCTCATTGGTCACGAAGAGATAATGATATGCAGGAGAACCGGCACTCTCCGGATTTCTTAAGTTGATTACGGCAATAAGTGCGTCTCTGTCCAAATACCGAAAGCAAAAACGGGGTTGTATGTATGTATGTCTTGCGCTCTTGTTGCAGGGCTGGCAGCGGCCCGACTGCTTCGAAAAGAAGGCGTCGAGGTGATCGTCCTCGAAGCCCGGGATCGCGTTGGTGGACGGACCTACACGGTTCAGGTGAGCGCTTCTTTTTTTACCTCTTAGGAGGGTTTAAACGCACACGGACATCCGACACAAGCCATGTTCCAAAAAAACAAAAACAAAACAACAACAAGCAAACATAAAATTTTGTATTTTTACGTGACAAACCCGCGAAGGGCTTCTGGGCCGGCTTGCTAGATACAGCGTGCTCGAGCATTTCAAGATGCTCGGGCATTTCAGCCTTTGCAGTGAGTGCTTTCTTTTACCCAGTCTCAGCTGAGACGCTGTTCTGGCAAGCCGGCCCTGGCATACGCTCCAACGAAGGACTGAGGATTACTTTTGATCACCCGGAGTTCTTTTCACTTGTAACCGACATTTCCGTTACACGGCGGCTCTTCTCCGCAACAAGCGTCTGTAAGAATGCAGGCACCTCAGCCTAGAGAGTCGAACCCGCCACCTGGGAATCCGTGGGCCGCCGTTTTGTCTCGGAGCCACCGAGGCGAAATTCGAGATAAATTGAAATATGAGCGCCCCGCGGGGGGGCGTGTATTATGAGAAAAGGCGAAGTTGAATTAACGATTCCTCAATTGGTCAGGACCCTCTTGTATACATTGTGTAAAACTGAAACTGAACCGTACATGGAGAAAGCTAGGTTAATAAAAAAAATAAGCCGTGGTCACTGCGACGTCCACGCCGCGACCAGAAACACACATTGCCCCCGCGTTTTATTGTGGTGGCTGATGCGTTGCCTCCACTTTCAGCTGATGTGCTAGTGGCTATACACTAGGACAAAGGATTGGGCGTTTTTTTTTCCTTCTTGTTAACTACGGAGGAATTTAATAAATTCCATCGTAAGATGGAGCCTCGTGGTGAACAAGGTACAGATCGCGCTTTCATTCAAAACACGAGACTCCTGCCTTGTTTATTCAACGTAGTATACAAACTCGATTCACCCTTCAAAAGTCTCCTACTTTACTTTTCTGTAAAGCACGGAGACAGCCTATCACGGTAAGAATAAAATACCAGCGAATGACAATGCTCAAAATACTGCTCGAGAAAAAGAAATGCGATGTGCGGAGGAACAATCGATATGACGTTTCACTTACTCATTGTCCCATTTAATTCATACCTAATGGCATTCTGAACCCCATTCGCTCTGTGCTTCGAAGGAAAGTGAACTGTTGAACCTTTCCTTTTTCTTAGGGTGTTGATAAGTTAATGACAAGGCGAGATAAATACCTGCGTTGTTTGCATAAATACTGGGGATTAGGAAAATGCAACGACATTGTCGACCACTACGTGGTGTGGAAGGGAACCGACCAGAAGAGTGTGTTGTGTGTATGTACAGCCGGGAGTTAGCGCCAATGAATGTCTGGTGTCTCATTTGTAGATGAGCAATTCAGCCAATGCAGTGCAATCTCTAGCCTGCGGTATTTTACATGCACCACGCAGTAGCGAAACACGATAGCATGCTGGTACGATGTTCATCTATATTGAAACGGGCAGGGGTGGGGTTTGAACCCAGAATCCCTGGGTTGTGCAGCGCGATCTTGTTTTTCCACGTGCTCCCAGTTGGTGTGCGCTCTCGGCCATCGATCGTCCCAATCAAAAATAAGAAGAATCAAGAAAACGAAGACACCCAATGACCGCGTTCACGATTGCTGTATCATACGCGGAGAATCAGGCACTCCTTGCAACAATAAATCTTTTCGTCCCGAGGCAGATGAAGGCAAAAGTATCCAATCACCCAAAGCATCTGGTACTGGAACCAAGCTTAAATTGCTTTACTGTAGGCCGAAACACCTTGATCTATCTTTCTCCAGCGGGTGGTAAACCTAATACACCTTCAAGATGTGAGTTTACGAGTCTGATCGCCGCCCCTGACCGTTCTGGCTTGGACGAGCATCGTAACGTGCACGGTCCTGTAATCAGTCACCACCTCGTTACAGACTCCAGGTTAGCCGTCGCACCGCCCGGCCTACCTTGACCATTTTCAGCGAAGCAACCCCAAGAAATTTCAAGGCAGACAAAATTACACCCGTGCTTCTATAGGTCTTCTAACCGTCATGCAACGAACCTGACCGTTTTTTTATTTGTTTTTTCAAAACGGTACCTGGGCCATTTTTTATGATTTGCGAGCTTTTTTGACGAACCTGCATATTTTGCAACGATTCACGTGAAAGCGAAAAGAAAGTTTTGCCTCGCATTCCACATTCATTGCTTGTCTCACACTTCTTATCCAGTGCCGCCGCAATGTTACACTGGTTTTCTATTCTCGTCAAGTTATCTCCTGGCGAAAGTCCGCTCCGAGCAGTGCTCAGCGACCGCCCTCCCTCTGGGCCTTCTACACTGTTATCTTTTTACGAGACGACTGTGAGAGATTACAAAAAAAAAAAAAAAGTACCGGATAGTGTTAGGTCCCCACTCAGTTTTACTTGAAGTTCGATCGCAGCCGACGCTGTAAACTCCGATGGAGCCGATCGTGGAGCACCAAAAGTGCGTCGGCACGAAGCTCGTGCTCCTTTGTGTGTTTCTTATCCCCGACCCGGCCAATCACGCAGAGTGAATGCTCTGCAATCCTGCGATTTGTTTTTCTCTGCGTGATTTACTTAGCTGTTGATGGCAAAGCCATAACGATAACGATCGCCGTGATGATGCACTCTAAGTGCTGTTTGATTGGCTCTTCACGGGGTCTTATAGCGCCCGCTGTGGTCGTACTTAAAGTAAAACGTAGTATGGCGACGCATATCCGCGCTTTGTATTTCCCCCGTAAAACATGCGGGAATATATATCAATGGCCCTCGAGACTCCGGAACTGCTTTCCACTAGGCAATGCAGTGAAAGATATGGACGCGCATTCTTTCCTTTATGGGCACTGCTACGGAAAGTTCCCCCTTTTGAAACCGCAGTCACGCTTTATTCGTTTATGTCATACAGAAAACGCAGTGTTCGCTGCAGTCACGATGACCGAATTAGGGAGTTTTAGGGAACCGTTTTTGCGCTTATCCGATACGGTATGAAGGGTCGTCCTGGTACAAACTGCGCATGGGAGAGTTTTTTTTTTTTTTTTTTTTTCTGGCAGGGTTGGGCATTATTGCGATAAAAATGTACTGCAAGAGAATTTCAGAAATACATTTTGTATCTGTATTTTTGTCCTGTATACTTCTTGGCCTTGTCTTTTTTGCGCTATTTTATATGTTTTACTGAACATAGGTTTCGGCATCGTCATTCGCTGAGCTGCCTCATTGGCTCTCCGAGGTGTGCGGGAAAGCGGATGCACGGGCTCTTTTTTTAGAGTGTAGTTTGCTAATCGATGCTTTGGCGCAAGCACGTGTCTTCTCACGCGGAGTTGGTGAGCCCACTGTCCTGACGTCTGAAGGGTCTTTCCAGTCATCACAGGTTTAAAAATATGCCTTTGGATTTAGCAGCGAGAAGAATTGTTGAATAAAAACAAAACGAAACAACGTAATCTCGTCATTAGTGGTTTGGCAAAAGTCTTAACATTTCATTTGGTGAATGTGGGTCATGAAGAGGTTTCAAGGGTGTATGAGTCTAAACGAGTCATACTGAAACGAGCATTATTTGCTAGGTTTTGTGCATTGGCGAAAGCCCTTTGTTATGTTTGAAATAATTATTTTCCGGCAATATTGATCGAATTAAATCTTAAAAAAAGGAAATTTATTGGAACAGCGTGCCTTCACGTGACGTAACTTCAGCGTCCATGTACTCATGATGGGTTCGCTACTCTTCCGACCCTTACGTTCGTTATGTTTCGGTAACACAGGGAGAACACTTTGGCTACTTGGACATCGGAGGCGCCTACATCGGAGGAACTCAAGACCATGTCCTCCGCGTTCTCCGAGAAGTTGGCCTGGCAGACAAGCTGTACTGCGTCTACTACGAGAACAAATGCGTCTTCACGATCCTGGTATGGCATCGTGCACTCTTAAAAAATATGAAGCGTCTACCTACAAGCAATACAATTAGGAGGGTGAATAGCTGCAATCTATGAAGGAAGTTAGCTGAATGACGGGGCTGAAAATGTGTCATACTCATAACTAAACCAATAGTCATCGCGCTAGAAGTGAGCATGAGGTCTTAGTATCTTGAGTGTCATACGGCGGGCAAGTGTTCCAAAATGCGTTTTTGGCGCATCGGACCGAAAGGAGAGGCGCACCAATCAAAGGGCAGCGTAACGAACGCGAAAGGAACGCGCCGTGAAGAGGCAGCCAAGAGCGCGGCCATCATTGGCTGAGGTCGGGGGGAAACAAAAGCACAATGGCGCTTCTAGAGGGAAAAAACACGCACGAAGTGCGCAAGGAGCAGGCGAACTTGCACTCCGTCATGCGAGGACTGCATTTTTTGGGGTCTGAAAATTGATGTCAAATTGCTAGGCAATCGTGTTGCATACGTGAAACAATCAAGCATTACAAACGTTTAGCGATACCCTGAGTTTCCAGACGCCTACATTCACGGTGCCCTTTATGAGATGGTTTAACATGTACTACGTTGTTTCTAGAATAAGGCGATACTACGGCTAATCGGGCTGATACACATGGCGATCTTCCAGAGCTTTCCAAACCCTCGAGCTCCTTTCCTTCGGTGTGCTCAGATTGTCGAGCTCCTTCTCGCCTACATCACTCTTCCTCGCCTACCCTTCTGGTCACACGACCTGCCCTTTAATGAATCAGCGTCGAGCACCTCACGCCTCCTCTCCCGCCTATACACCAATGAGTTTAGAGCCCCGCGGCCACGCTTTTACTAAAGGCTTCACTTTTGGGGGCTTCACGATATGCCGAACACCTAGCCCAAGGAACAACCTCAATAATCGTCGCGCTTCCTCCTGAAGGTTGAAGCGATTGGCTACTCTCCCGAGTGCTTTGCGGTGAAGTAGACCCTCGAGATTTTGTAGAGTGTAGTGAGAACATCTGTGACGTGCACACGCTTGATTTATTTTATAAGAATTGAACTCACATTGCGAGGCTAAAAAGAAAAGGAAAAAAAATGGCGTTATTTTTCTTTTCTTCTGTCGGGTGGTTCGGGATGCTCAGAGCGTGCACAGAGAAAGTTTGGTCAATGGGAGGGGCGGGCAGTGCGAGGGCGTGCACCAGACGCAGATAAAGGGCTTGGCACGCTCTCCTGGCCAACCAGAAGCCGGAAAGTATCCCCTAGCAATGGCAGCGAGAAACAGTTTTAATAAGAGCGTAACTCATCATAGCTGAAAGTGTGGTGCCCGTGATGTTTTGATTATGATCATGCAAAAAGATGTAAGAAACGAATCTGCCGTTCGAACCCTGTTTTGCTCGGGCAGTATGTGACCGCTCGGACGGCAGATTCCCGGCCTTCGGCGCCTGGCCGAAGGCCGGGAATCGTTCCGCCAGTCGCACTCTTCCACCATGATTTCGGATGACTGTGGTTGAAACGTCACCTGCACGATATTTTCAGTTACCGGGAGCTACTCCCACCACCGGTATTGACCGGCTTCTGGTTGGTCACATTCGAGTTTGAGAAGACGCCCTGAAACGCTCCCAGCCCGTTTTTGGCCAATGGCGCCTTCTCATTTGCCTCCTATACTTCAAAATGAATTGCCAAACTCCCTTTATATACGGCTCTGGGGATGTTCTATAACTCCTTTCTGCTTCAGGTCCAATTGTAGCCGATACTACGATTCAATGTAACCAATGAAGCAACGCCAAAAAATGCATCGTCATGGCGCCGCTCGTCGTCTCTGAGCGTTTGTCATCCTCATCTAAGCCAGTCACGCAGTATAAACAATCCGCGATCCTGCGCTTTTTTTTTTCTCTGCATGATCGGTTTTGGTTTTTGTGCGTGAGCCGACGATAGGAAGCCCAGTATAGGACAACAAGCGCCGTGATTATGCTCTTTTGCCGTTGCGTGATTGATTCCATTGGATCGCCTAGCGTTGGCTGCGGTCGGGCTTGGCGTGAAACGGGTAAAAATAAGGCGTTTAGTTTCATTTCTTTGAGGGCGCCAGGTGTCGGTCATTCCAGGGAACGCGTTCGCTCACCCTGAGTCCTGACTCGCGCTTTCCTGAAGCGTAGACTTCCCTGAATATGCACTCAACGTTCGTTCGGCTTTCTCTTTCTTTTGGGCGCGTAGTCTTTACATATAGTCGGTATCGTGGGTTCTGTGTACTGGCCAGTGTCCACACCACCAGCGGCGAGGGGACCGGTTCGTGCGAGCCATTGGGGAGCTTTCGTAAATGGTTTCCACTGTCCCGCAACACCCTCTGCGATCCGCTACGATACCCGGAACTCTACAACCAAAGCCATCAGCGCGCAGGCGCAGTAGCGGACTCTTCGTAGCGGAGGGCTTAGCGGAGTGGGAAACGCGGTCTACGAAAACTCCCTATTGACGTCGTGTGCGAAGAAAGGGCGAAAAGGGGCGAGACATTGAAGCCCGAGGCGCCACACACTCGTGAAACCTAAAGTTTGGGGCCGAAGTTTACCGAGCGTGCCGATTGGACTCTCGCGACGTTGATTGCGCTTTTTCTCGTCGAAGTCCAGTTGGCCCGCTGCATGAACGTTACGCTTCAACTTGGTGCTTTACCATTCCAGAGCTCATGTACCGTAAAAAAATGATAAATAAAGAAATCGGTGCGTTTATTTTCTCACAATGCACAATAGAAGAGCCATTCTAACGAAAGTTATTTTAAGCCTAAAAACAAAAATTACGGTGACTTAGCTCGGCTATGCCAGGATATACGTCGCGTGAGCTTATGCGCACAAAATGAAAGGCGCTATCAAGCGGCTCCGGTGCAGCGTCAGACTTGGCTACTGCGCAACGGAGGCGCACAGCTGGGCGCGCGGCGGCGCCAGCGCGTCTGCCGCGGCATGACGTCACTCCTCTGGAATTCGCATACCGGCGAGGCGCGCGCGGTGGCGGCGGAGTGCGCGGCGGCCGCGGCTCCGGCGCGCCAGCTGTGCACCGTGTGACGTCACTGCTTCTCGCGCCTGCGCAGCACGGCTCTTTGGGAGCCACGCGAAACTGCTCAACCTCGGTCAGTGTAACTCACGCTACAAAAAACCACCGCAGTTTAGAAAGCTCCCGAGAATCATGTTGCGTGCACATCGTGCGAAGGTCCAAACTCTATGCGCCGAAGAGCTGAGGGAGAAGAGGAGACAAGGACGCGCGGGGGACGCCAGAACACCGAGCTCTGAATGGGATGATTATTGCGCAGACTCAGAGCTAGCTGCCTTTGTCTCTAGTCACACTTAGAACGCGTTCGATTGCCAAACTCCGGCGTTCAGTGTTCCTGCGTTGGCATTCGAACGCGTTTGAAGAGCGAGGAAAGACAGCTTGACGCCTGCCCAATAATTATTTCAGTCAGAATCGGTGTTCTCACTTCCCCCGGCCGCTCTCGTCTCGCCCTCTCCTTCAATTTCTCGGCGCATACCCAACGGGCCGACACCTCCCATGGATAGGAAAGCCAAAGTGCCAAATTTTCCCGCGTCACTAAACAAGGCCACCCTAGGCTAGGAATGGGACACGACTACGGCGTCAGCATTTGACTATGGGTCGTGTCCAATCAGTGAAAACACGACTCCATAGCCGAACGCTGACGCCGCAGTCGTGTGCAATCTCTGGCCTACAGTGGCCTTCTTTAGGGATGCAGGAAAATTCAGCGCAGGCTCTCTTATCTATAGGAGGTGTTGGCGTACCGCTATCCATCATACGATAGACCCCAGCGGACGCTACGAAACATCCCAGGCAATCCAATCTAGTACTATATGAACTAACACGCGCCTATGCGCGCCCCTCCCAAAGGTCACGTGACACTCACATGGCCCTGACGTCACGCCACTGCTTTGTGGCGCCGTTGTCGACACGGCGCATGCGCAGACGCTTCACTTTACGCGGATCTGGTTTCTGCGCACGCGCACTGCTCACGCCTTGTGAGGGCGAACGGTGACTTGTTTGTAAACAGGGGGTTCAGCTCATTGGGACTTTTAGAAAACTGTCATCGCTTACCGCGTACCCGCGTACCGCACTACCGGAGACTTTGAAGCATGCTTTTAAGTGCACTCCCCGCGGTCACGGCATCACCCTGGCGCGCGCTTAAAAGCATGCTTTAAAGGCTTCAGTACTGCGGTACGTGGAACACGGTAGCGGTTTGCTAAAAGACCCTATTGGCGAAGCCCCCAAAAGCGTTTGAACTTAAAAGTGCGGTGTTAGAAGGAACCAAGAGGGTCTGAGACGTCACGCGCTCATTATCCTAGCACATTTGGCATTTTAGTTCAAAATGTTACTTTTGCCTCTTTGTTTTCTTGATGTGTTACATATACTAGAGTGAATGGCCCACAGCGTGCATGCAAGTAGACGCGCAGCCATTCTTAAAATGCACGTCTTTGTAAAAAATCAATTTTTTTTTTGGCTTTTGATGCATTACTTGTGAGTATACCTCGTAAGCAAAGGCAGACAAAATAAGAAAGAGAGAGTAAATTATACTTTCAAAGAATGCCGCGATCTCCTAAATAACAAAATAAAAAAAAGAGAAGACAACTAAATGCGTAGAGGCAATTATGAAACAAGCGAACATTCGCAAACTAGGAACATTTGCGGTTGAACGATCACGAAAGAAATATATTTCTAGCAAACAGAAACGTGCTTGAGGAATACTCTGCACGAAACAACAAGAAGTACATGACAAAGTTCTGTACAAGCCTTGTTTGCAGTTCTTGAAAGAAACCACGTAAAGCGGATAATGACAATTGAGCGTAGTCCCGACTTCTTCTTGCAACTCTTAAAATAAAAAAAAGCACATTGCCTATTGACCGTTCAGCGCAGTTTCGGTGTGGTACAATCCTTGGAAAACGCAAATGGCACCGCGTATAAAACCGATTATTTCCTGAATGTTTCAGGGAAGGCGGTACGTGACCCGCGACGGCGATTTCCCCACATTCTGGAACCCGTTCGTGAACATGGACACCAACAACTTCTTCAGAAAGCTGGATCAGATGGGAGAAGAGGTGCGCACATCATCCAAATATCCTCCAGAAACTCTTGCACAGCGCCCGACACCGTTACCCTGAACGCGACGTCGGCCCTTTTTTAACTTTTCGTTAGAGTACTGATAAGCAGCGAACATTACTGTTTAGGATACTGCTCTGAATGACGCCTTTCCGGCTAACTGTATTTTTGTAAAAAAAAAAAAAAAGTAAAATAAAAAAAAAACTGATTTTTTTTTTTTAAGAGTGTAGCGCTGTAAACATTAAGTTGGCCCTAAATTTTTCTAAAAAACGAGCTTGCGCCAGGGTTTCTTTTTTAGCTCTGGGGCCAAGTTAGGGTCATGGCGGCCACTAGGAAAGAGGCGAAATGGGTTATTAGCTAGCTAATCAACTGAAATAAAGTTTGAGTTAACCTTCTAAGTTTTATTTTTGGGAACATATTGTATTCGGAGAATCGATGTGTTCGATGAGAATCGAACACATAAGGTTTAGTCGTGCCGTGAAATACAGGCTAAAGAAACTCGCAATGCACGTGTACCGGAAATGTCAGCGTTGTATTCACTGCTTTAAACCAAAACTAAGCGCGAAAAGAGCACCAGTGATGTCGATTCCTCAACTCTTCACATAAAAGGTGCTAAAGTGCCTACTCCTTCTGAACTTGCTAATTGATTTTTTTTCAGAAAAATGAAAAAAGAAAAAAAGGAACGGTGTCCAGACAATTCTTGTCTAAGGTACTTTTTAGAAAGAGTGCTGCAGTGCTGTGTCTGATTCTACATGAAGGTTTTTGCGAGTTCTATAAACTTCTTAAAAAATAAATAAATATATATATATACATATATACATGCAAGGTGACGGTAGAAAACAAACCAGGAGGATTTTATTCGACGTTTCGACCTGAGGCAGGTCTTCGTCAGAATAGGGTTACAAGAAAAATGTCGTTCTATTTATACAGTTTTGAGAAGGGAGAGAGTACGCATACAACGAAAGTGCATAGGGAGAACAGATAAGAAGTACACCACTTAGAATCTCACACAAAAGGAAATAAGGGATGAGCTCTAAGTCAGAAGCAACCGCACAAAGTCGAAAAAAAAAAGTTTTTTCGACTTTGTGCGGTTGCTTCCGACTTAGAGCTCATCCCTTATCTCTTTTTGACTGAGATTCTAAGTGGTGTACTTCTTATATATATATATATATATATATATATATATATATATATATATATATATATATATATATATATATATATATATATATATAGGGTGTTCTTTTATTCTGACACATTTGTTTAAAAAAAACGTGAAAGCTACACAAATGCGGTTTGTGCAGGTGAGTTATACGGCCAGGCGGACATTATTTGGGTGGCTAATCTTTGCAATAACTCGGCTAATTAATTAAAATTCGTTAATTAACTTTTTAATTATTGAAAATAAACATATGGTTCCAATTAGAAACTTGCTGAGCATCATCGAAATCCCCTAAATCAACTATTTTTAGCAGGATATAACGCCGGGGCAGCATTTTACGGCAATCTGTAAAAACGCTCCTTTTGGATGCGGTTCTAGATTTCGGTTTCTTATCGGAGCGCATCTACGCGCCCGCGATCCTGCTCCCCGGTGGTCGCGGCGCGAAGCCATCTCTTCGCCTCCCTCGTAGAATGGAGGGAAGTACGGCGCACGTCTGTTGCGCGTCTCAGCCACTGGGGAGCAGGACCGCGGGCGCGGTTATGCGCTCCGATAAGAAACCGAAATCTAGAAACGCGTCCAAATGAAACGCTTTTACAGAACGCCGTAAAATGCTTCCCCGGCGTCATATCTTTCCAGTAACAGACGATTTAGTGGTTTTCGATGATGCTCTAAAAGTTTCTAATTGAAACTATATGTCTATTTCCACTAATTAAAAAGTTAATTAACGAATTTTAATTAATTAGCCGACTTATCGCAAAGATTAGTCACCCACATGATGTCCGCCTGATTGTATAACCCACCTGCACAAACCGCGTTAGTGTAGCTTTCATGGATTTTTTTAAACAAATGTGTAAGAATAAAAAAAAAACACCCTATATATATATATATATATATATATATATATATATATATATATATATATATATAACTTATAAAATGGCAATCGCGAAACTTCCTTTTTATCGAATTTCTTTTCTTCTAAGCACGTATACCGTTAAACTATTTTTGCAGGTGCCATTAATCACTCCTAATACGCACTGTTTTTAAGATCTCGCCAGCGGCGCAGCATTTACAAACAGGGGACGTTCGTCAGATACCATTTAGTTGAGAAACGAAAATGCATCATCATTGAATATTGATATCGATCGCATTTCTAATTGGTTGAGCTGATTAAGCACCGACCACTGATTGATATTTGAAGTGCATCACAGTGCAGTATTCAAAGAATTCGAAAGTTCGATGTTCGTCAAGTGAGATATGGCCCCGTACAGTAACTTGTCATCCGGAACGGCTTCGAAGGGTGTTTTTGTATATCTTTAAAACATAATCGATTTTCTTGAACAGTTTTATCCGGAATTAGACAATTACAAAGAAGAAATATATTCTATTTTTGTTTTGCTTATATTTTAAGAATTCTCAGTCGTCGATTCGGCTGCGCTCTTCTGTATCTTTTTTTTCTTAGTTATTGGAAGCCATTGCACTGGGATGCATCTATAAGCGGCTATATTGGAACTTTGAAGCTCACCCTCAGGTAGATGTTTGCTTACGCTTCATAGGCCTGACGCTCAGGCACCTTTCGCTTTTCCAAACAAGCAAGGCGGATGTGCGAGGCCCAACTCCGAGGCGCTGAGACAACGAAAACATCATCGCACAGAAGGCATGGGTGCACATCTCGAAAGTGAGCCTTCGGTTAACCACATAGAGGATAGGTTTAAATACGAGAGTATTCGTCCCTTTCCGGTGGGTTGCTGAACAAGACTAATAAACAACAGTGCCTTTATCGGAGGGCGCCCACCATAGGAACAGTAGCAACTGGGGGGGGGGGGGGGGGGGCCTTTTTGCAAAGAGCGTTTGTACCGACTTACTACGAATATCTTGACTAAATAGAATTATAGTCACTGAGAGCTTAAGCAACGCATACTGTGGCGAATCCCCAGCTTCTTACTATTGCAACGCCGCCAATGAAATTGCGACACCAATCGATAACAACACCGAAGGACCAAGCACGAGTCAAGAAGGCTGAACATATTAGGCCATGCCCTGCGCTTCTCAAGCTGTGAGTGACTATAACCAGTATTACGTTTGTGGTGGGGCAAAGTAGCGACAAAATGTTTCATGTCACTAAAGTTTATCTGTCTTATTATTCTCAGATTCCTGCCGATGCTCCCTGGGACGCGCCTCACGCTGAGGAGTGGGACCGAATGACGTTCCAAGACTTCATTGACAAAACCTGCTGGACAAGGTGAGCTTCGTTTGGAATCATAACGTACGAAGAGCTCCCGTTCCCAGGTGTGTTCCTTAGCAATTCAATGAGCTTCATCATTGTACACTTTAAAGAAAGTCTGCGAGTTTATTATCTTTCGGAATGCGAAAACAGCCCACCATGGCGAACAACAAGAATATACAACTTAAAACGAAGCCCAGCATACGATTATATTTGAACGGTGCGATGTCTTGAGAAACAGTTAACGTTACATTCCACTTACTCAACGTCATTCGCTGGAATTCTTCTCTTGCCCGCAGTCATTTGCTGTCTCCTTGTTCTACCGAAAAGTGAACCCACATACGTTTTTAGAATATAAAGGCTCGTTCACACAGTTGCGTTGGAGTGCGACTGCAACCACTTCCATCTGGTTAAGACTGCGCTTGCGTCGAGCTGTTGCTATGGCTGCCCTTACGACGAGCCAATGAGGAGGCGCTGCATGTGCTACACGACGCAACGCAGCGGAACACGGTCAACGCTACTGTGAAAACGAGCATTAAGGGTTTGCCATTTCTTGAATTTCACAGATTGTGCAGATGTGCTTATGGTCAGAAATCAATGAGGAAAATAACCCCTGGAGTAGGGGAACAAGGGAGATAAAGGACAAACCGAGATCTCCATACACAGCTAGGTGACTGATGTGCGACGGAAAAAGTCCGCCTACTCCAGGTATCGAGCCAGGGACCTCTTCATTTCCAGTTGAGCGCTCTACCAACTGAGCTAACCAGGGGTTAGACGTCAGTAGAGCAAACGGGTTTTATCAGCTGCCACCAGTCTACACCAACACAAATAAACAGCCTGCATTTTAAGGTTATGGTTATGATGCAATTAATGCAAAGGTGCAAGCGAGCTGTATGAGAATGACGAAAATAATTCCTGGAGAGGGAGAACAAGGGAGACAAGAGAGAAACACAAATCTTCAAACACAGCTAAATGGCGGGTGCACGGTCAAAAAAAAAAAAAAAAAAAAAAGTCCGCCTGGTCCTGGTATCGAACCAGGGGCCTCTCCATTGCCAACGGAGCTCTACGGGTTTTATGAGCTGCCACCAATCTAACCTGACTGGTGGCAGCTGACAAAACCCGTTGGCTCTACTGACGTCTAAACCCTGGTTAGCTTAGTTGGTAGAGCACTCCACTGAAGAAAGAGAGGCCCCTGGTTCGATACCAGGAGAAGGTGGATCTTTTCGGTAGCGCACCAGTCACCTAGCTGTGTTTGGAGATTTGTGCTTGCCCTTTGTACCCCTTGCTCCACTTCTCCAGTGCTTATTTTGATCATACTGTCTTGCTCGCTTGCACCTTCATATTAACTGCATTATCATCAGAAATCAAAGCTTATTTTATTGACTAATTCATTTAGATTGCTATGATAATATATATATATATATATATATATATGAAAAAGTAAAATCATGAGAAAATACGCGTTCAAGACGATCCCATGTTTATGCCCTCCGAGTCAATTGTAGGTTTGGTTGACCAGCGCTGAGAATGAAATTTTTCGCGTAATGTGGGGGACGGAGGCATAGGCTGAGGAAACTTAACGGGTGCATTCACCTAACTTTTCCATGCATGCACATTGGAGACATCCACTTATAGTGATAACGAGAAAACCTAAAATTCCCATCGTTATAACTGATTATCGTTGCATCTGGATTAGAAACTGATCGTTTCTAGTTTAGTAACTCTAGAAACGGATCGCTATAAGAAATTTATCGTTATATGTGGTATCGTTATAAGTGGATTGCACGTATGCCAATGGAATATAGTCTCATACGATTTATAATAATGGCTGGAAAAAAGAACCTGCCCTGTAGGCTTTAGTAATTAGAATAATGATCAAAAAATTTACAAACATCTAACGGAAAAAAGCTTGCATTGGAACACGCGGTTTTAGCCGTATTTTCTTTGGTTGAAGAAATGTTTCTATGAAAAACTAGAAATTGTTCAAATGGTGAAACAAGGTTTCAAATACGTCTTGATTGATCGAATGCCTAAAAATCTTAGGGGATATACAAATTAGCCATTCAATTCCTAATCTTCAAGCTCAATTTCGCCTCAAACATTCTGGATTGCGAAATTCGTCTAGATATACTTGGTTAGAAAGTATTTACGGAACTATTTAGCTGACGTCATACAAAACCAAAAAACGCTATTTTGTTCCAGCCATATCTGGTTGTAGTGATTGATTAACTACATGCCTTTCTGTTTTGTGTTTTTTCAGGGTCGGCAAAGTGTTTGCCCAGTTCTTCATTGCTATCAATGTGACTTCAGAGGCCTACGAATCATCTTTACTCTGGTTCCTGTGGTACGTGAAGCAGTGCGGTGGGGTCAAGAGGATCATTTCCGTAAAGAACGGAGGCCAGGTGAGATATTAAAGTCACCATAGAAACAATATGGACGAAGACAATTCCGACACGCCCGTATTGACTATGAGATTAATGTTGAGATTCAGAAGCTATAGTGACAACCACCATTGAGCCTGTTACCTACACCGTGGTAACGAACATCACATTGGTGTCGATGTGACATGGAAATTTGGAAACCCCCTATGGTCCGTTTCATCTTACGATGGGCGACAAACAATGAAGCGCAGACCGCATGGCGCGTTTTTGCTCGCAATTCAGGCGTGTCGGCGTCAAACTGACGTAATTTCCTGCGCGCGGGCGCGCGTTTTCGCGGGAGCGTTGGTTTCTAGCCGACCCAGAACAAGACGCGCGCCGAGGCGTTGAAGCGGCTCTCGCCCAATGAGGGACGGTCAAACTATCACGTGATCCTGCACAGTACGCTGTTTCGTATACAGCATATTTCAAAGTGTTCAAAAGCATTTATATTTTCCACATAAAAATTTAAAAGGTGTTTCTTCTGACACACAAACCCGTTTTATTTACTTATTTGTTCATTGAATTCTCATTTTGTAGTATTTGCGTCAACAGTTAAATCGCGTGTTGAGAATTCTGTTATCTGGCAACGCTGATAACGCACGGCCGGCGGTGCCTGGCTTTGTCTGCATGCGGGTGCCCCCGCGTCAGCCTCCGCGAGAGCGTTCATAGCGCGTCGCGTTTTCGCGTGTAGAAAAACGCGCCATGCGGTCTGCGCTTGACAGGAGCCATCAAATCTAATACCATATGCCTTATGAGCGTCACCTGACCTTCAGGAGATGCGCAGCGACGCGCCTAGTCACATGATATTTTCAGGGCCTGTAATTGGCTTAGAAGAGCCACTCCGGACTAATTAAAATTTGACTTGGAAAAATTTGGCGGCACGCAGTCCTAGCCACGCCACGAAAGCGTTCAAACGAAATTATGGGAACAGTAATCTCGAAATTATCCCACCTTTTAATTCATTATGTTTTTTATTTCGTCACCAACCGGCTACCGTGATGTTGGTGGTTGACAGACCACGGGACGTTTTTAGCGCTTTCTTCGCTGCTGCAGGGAGGACAGAACACACACAAAAAAAAAAAAAAAATCGCGTGGACGATGCATGGAAAATGAAGGCACACTGAAAAGCTTGCGGATACCTGTAGGGAAAATAACAATTCTAGAAGGTATTTTGAAGCCCTCTTTTTTTCTGGAAACGATTTATATACTTTATTCTCAAGGTAATGGACTCAAACTGCATTAAAAAAACTATTCCTTTGTAGGAAACGCTACTCCATATTCTTGAAATTAAGAAAACTATTACCGTTCAGTTGTTGTTGGACTTCATGGGATACAATTTTCTAAGGTTTACATGCATTGCGGTGTATTTTTGTTTCTTTTCATTCCAGGAACGAAAACTCAAGGGAGGCATGATGCAAGTCAGTCTGAGGATGGCGGAAAGCTTGGGAGGTTTGTGGAACAAAGTTTACTTTAACGCTTCTGAAGCACACGAAATCGTCACGGCCTTTTAACGAGCCCGGACGATTGCTTAGGCCCTCCCAAAATAGCGAAAAAATCGAACACTTGCTCTAAACGAAGGGTATCCAGAATCGTAATACTTGGCCTCACGAATGTAACCAATGTATTTCACTAAAAACAAGAGCGAAAACAAAAGGCGAGTGAATGAGCAGGTCTGCATCCAATGGAGGGACAGCACTTTTACGTGGTGTTGAGAGAACAGCTGGAGGGCAAAAACTAGAGCGTTGACGTTTGCATGTTCCAGCTTCCCTCGCCCGAGACTGTATACGTTTGGTACCGCATTTGGATTGTTGTAGTGAGAAAATCTAAACAATGTTTCTGCACATTCGTACATTTAGGTTACCTCCAGCTAAGACATGAATGACTCGCGACCTTTACTATTAACTGCTATTTATAACCCATGGAACGCAATATTTAAAGGAGCTGTGCAACGATATTCAATTGGAATGTTTTTCTCTCTACACTAGCTTACTGGCACACCTCGGACTCAAGGATACTCACACGCAACACCATTGTCCAAGAAACTCCTTTGTTGTGGTGTAATTTCAAGGACAAAAGCGATCATTTTCATTCAATCTCTCCTTTGCAAAATTTGATGACGTAACTCGGGGATCGCAGTACACCCAAGTGACGATATTTGAATGCGGTTCACAGATTGGACCCGAGCATTGCGTGGGCACTCGACTTGGGCTCGTGACAATTGCTAGCTCGAGAAGCATTCGGGTTGTGACCCGTGTCCAATCGCTGCAACGACGACAACAGCCGAGCCATAACAATGTCTGGAACTCAGCGCGTGTCCTGCGCTTTGCCAACCCCTGCGCGTGGCTATGATCAACACTGGCGGCATATAATCGGCTCCAGATCACGTGGCCGCTTGTTCTGGCTGCGAGTTGAGGGGGTGAACGCTGCTCGTTTTTCTTAAATTTTTTTCTGGGACTTCTATTGCGTGGGGTGAAAAACGAACGCGTGTTTCATAGGTCATTAACGTTAGGGATCCGATTTAAGCGGTATTTGTGCACAGTACAAAAATTGTTGCATCGCTCCTTTAACGGTCGTTTAAGCTTGTTATGTCTAATTCCGGTGGTCATTTTCCGTCAAAATATGTATCATATTTTCGGCACGGGCGTCCGCGTGGTCAAAGGCTTTCGAGTGGGCGCCGTATGGGTGGCGCTTTCAGGTGCATGCCGGCAAATTGCCGGCACAATTTTTGCCCGCGCCCTCGAACTGGTCGGGCAGCTAGTCTGCCGGACTGGGTGTCGTCATATCCGAATCGGGAAAGGGACCCAAATGAAACCAAGTTTGCAGATGGCAGTTTCGAGCCGCAAATCTGCAAATGAAGCCATCGAGCCAGACGCCCTTTTGTCTTCGGAGAAATGACAGCAAAAATAACGAAGAAAAAAAAGAAAAAAAGAATGGATATGGTTTGAGTCAACGAGCAGAAAAAAAAATCATAAATTAGGTAGTCCTTAAAGGAGTCCGTTTTTTTTTTTCAATGTTTCTGTAAGCTTACGTAAGATCAGTGTGCACTGGGACACGGCGTGCCCTACCGCAAAAAAAAAAAAAAAAAAGCAACCGCATCTTCACGTGGTGAATGATGTTGATTGGGGCGAAGCTCTAGTGGTGCTTGTCTACGTAGACGCTGAGCCGCAGCATGCCGAGCCTTTCGTTCGTTTTCATCCATGTCACGCTGCGGTCAAATGCTCAAATGCGTATATAACCACCTTCCATACCACACATTCTCTTTCTGACATGGATGAAAACGAACGAAAGGCTCGGCATGCTGCGGCTCACGGTCTACGCAGACAAGCACCACCAGAGCTTCGCCCCAATCAACATCATTCACCACGTGGAGTTGCGGTATTTTTTTTCCCTACACGAGCACGGGAGAACGTGCTCACGTGCTCATGTGTTCGTGAGCACGAGCACCCGACGCCGGACGTCGGATGGAAATACGGACATGGCTAGACCCGCAGGAGCTTCGCCCCTAAAATATGTATGGGTGTAGTGACGGAGCGACACTTGATCATACATTCCATCAATATGGGGTTGCCCCAATAAAAAAAAATGAGGCCCCCCCCCCCCCTTCAAAGAAAAAATACTGGAAATATAATAAAAAACAAATTCTGAAAGCAGTTTTCGGAGCCTCAACAAACGACAACCGTTATGGGGAAAAATGAAAAACTAGACAAATTAAAATTTGGTAGCATGTGCTGGTGGCACCGCACATTTTTCGCAATCTGCCCTCGCATTAATTTTATATTTTAAGATCGTGTAAGCTCTCATAGTGATAATGTTGTGTGTGTGTGTTTATACAACCGGAAATTAGCTTTAGTGGTCTTCTGGTGTCTCCGCTGTAGAGGTGAAATTTAGTTAGTGCAGTTGAACTGCTAGGCCTGGGGTGTGCTCCGAGCTGGTGTGCGCTAGCGCACTCGGCCACCGATCCCCCTCTGTAAGGTGTGAGGACTGTGGTAATGTCTATATTAAAACAATACTGTGAAGCCACTTGTCTCAAAAGCTCCCATTTCACTTTGACGCATTCAGCGTAAAAACCAAAACGCTAGGTGCCGGCGTTTTGTGTTCGAGTGGAGAGGGTCACGTGGTGCTCCGCCGACGTGTTCATGGTTGCCGGTGGCGCCGGCAAGGGCTCGGTGGCAATTGACCAACAGAATTAGTCATTAGACGGCATTGAACAGTCATTTTGGGGAGTGACTACGGACATATTGTCTATTGACTTCCTCAATAAATTCAATGAGAAAATTAACTGGGCATGACCTGACGTCACCTGACGTCATGCTGTCACGTGACACCACCACTTGTTACGTCACGGTGTAACGTCGACTGTCGTCAATTTTCCTTCTAAATTTAGCAGGAAAATGCACGGCAAACGAATGAACGGATAATTTCCAGGGATTAGGGTGTTCGTTTAAAAAAAACAAAAACATCCATTGCTTAAAAATAAATTTCATTTAGGGCTGGCGACACAGCTAAAGTTCAAGCTTGGGCTAGTTAATGTGACATTCTTAAAAGGTTAAAACAGCGCAAATGACGAAGGACAAGAAGAAAAAGGACACATACGTAGCGCTGTGTTCTGTCCTGCTTCTTGTCCCTCGTCGTTTGGGCTGCTTTAACTTTTCTGAAAAGACACACCTGGCTGACGCAGCCGATGGGCGATGCAAATATTCGTCCGCTCGTTTCGTGATTGGTGTCTGTGGTTGTTCTGTTGGCAGACAGAGTGAAGCTAAGATCGCCCGTCACGGCCGTCGCACAGGAGACGGACCACGTCGTCGTAACCACTCAGGATGGCCAGCGATACAAGGTCTGTCAGCTTCGCTCCGCATATAGGCGCTGGCCAAACCCTTCGCCACGTTCAGCAAAAGCGCGCTGTTACAATATCAACTGTTGTGCATTGAGGATAATAGGTCAGAGCATATATGTTAATACCAGCGAAGTGCGCCCGTGCACGAAGCGAGTGCCCGGTGTAATGTGCCAAAGCAGGGGTCTGAACTCTTGACCACGGCTGTTGGGTTCCGGCTCCCACTCCTCTAAAAAAGGGCCTGCCAAGCGATTTTTTTTTTGAATTGAGTCATTAGTACCCACATGACAGAGAAAAGCTGATGGCGTCCGTCTGTTGACAAAACAACGAGAAAGGGAAGCGCGCCGCGTAGAGAGGAGGAGAGTACTGAAGGACAAAGGCTAGAGGGAGGCGACGTCATTGGGCGACGCCAATGCGCGCGCGGATGCTGGGGCGAGTCTGAACTTGCAGGTGTGCGGAACGCATATTTCTTGGCTTGTGTTACAAAGAGGAGTTTGAATGAATTACTAGCGCTGGTTCAAGTAGGCAGCAAAAAATTGAAGGAAGATCCATTGGTGGATTTTAGGGAATCCGTTAGCATGACCCTTGGGAAACGCCACACACGCCCCCTTTGAGAAACGCTAACGCTGACTCCATAACGAAACCAGAAAGAAGCAGAAAAAAATAGAGGTAGCAAAAGAGAAAGCTAGAACAGAAAAGTGAAGGGTTCAGCGTTAGCGTTTCCCAAGGGTCATCGATAACGCATTCCTGAAGGATTAACAGGTGGTTCTTTAGTTTTCTTTTTTGCCACGTGCAACGCGAGATTTCAAAGTTGCTGCAATAAGTAGCACTGAGCCTGGTGACGCTGACCAGTGGCCCCGGCACTTTTATGAGGATAGAGGGGCTTTAGCCCAGGTAGCTTGTGGCGAACAGGCGAGACGAGGGGGGGGGGGGGGGGGGGGGGCAGCGCGAGACTCTACATCAACGCAATAGCATTGCGTGTGTCCATCGATGAACTCAGAAAACTGGGCTGGAGTACTTTTTTATGCATTTCCTGGTGAGGCGGTAGGCCACAGTGAAGCGGCAGTGATCAAACGGCAGTGTCTGGCCAGACTTCCCTTGTTCTTACAACCGGGGGGTGCTGTGAGTTTTTCGTATTTGTACAACATTGAGGGGCAGTACTGTAATCACTGACGCTCCCCTAGTGGGGGAATGTCACACTGCATGCAGCGAGCACGATTATGGTCCCCTGTGGTCGCTGATAAGCTTAAGAAATGCAGAGAGTGCGAGTCCGATGCATCTTATGATCGCTCCGTGGTGAATAAGATTGAGGCATCAGCCAACAAAAAAACCCCCTCCCCCCCTTCCCCCCCCCCAAAAAAAAAACAAGAAAAAAAAAAACAGACAGGAAGCAAGCGTGAAGAACGAGTGCTTGCTGGAGGCCGGGCATCTGGAAGGAGACAGTAAGCGAGTCCTGTGCTGTTAGGCTCTGTAGCTGAAAAATCTATGCGGAGGAGCGCCATTTCGTCTGCTTTTTGCGCAGGGGGTTGCGATGACGTCAGAACACCGAGCGCTGATTCATTCGATTGGAAGGATAAGGGGTAGACCTATAGTCCTCTAGTACTAAGGTTTGCCCACTACCTTTACAATCAGAGCCAATCGGAACTCTTAGTTCTAACGTTACCGCAAGGCCTGCGCAAGAAGCAGACGAACTTGCGCTCCGCATAAGCTGAAAAACAGCCCTGCTGGGAAAATGGTTTTACTATGAGCAATGCGAGGGCACCAGACTCTGTTCGGTCTCGTATTGGACAACTCCCAGCTTACCTAGGATAACGCCAATCCTTACCTTTTATTTTTCTTGATAATGCGTACCAGCGCCTATAATTTCAGTTATTTTTGTAATTACTTGTTCTTTTAATTTTCCTAATCACGTTTCTATTTTTTTAGCTCACCGTAACAGGGGGCTTTGTGTCCCTTGCCGTACCCTGTTGGCTTTAAACGACTTGGCTCTGGCCTGCCCGCTCAAAATCGTAATTCGTGATCGTATATTCCCAAACGAGACATCGAAGTCTCTCGATGAAGCGTAGAGCTCGCTTGAATTGCATTTGCTGTGGAGGCTTCCGATGGTGCTTCTATCCAGCTCCATTTGCCAGAATTTAAATTTCATAACATGAAATATCAGGGAACACGCGGGGTCAGAAAATTAACCGTCTTCGTCTTTATTCCAGGGCAGCCACGTCATCATGGCTATGTCGCCTACCATCCAGATGAAGATGCACTACTCGCCGCCTCTGCCGCCTCTCCGCAACCAGCTGCTTCAACGTATGCCCTTGGGCTCTGTATGGAAGTGCCTAGTCTACTACAAGGAACCCTTTTGGAGAAAAAAAGGTACGCTCACTTCGCGGTACGCCTCGGGCATTCGACCGAGCCCCTTGTGTAAGCGAGCGCACACAGGCTGTACTGGGAGCCTGGGACACCTGTATACGAAGAGCGGTGCTCCGCCTTGGCAACTGTAAGGCAGTACCACCGGTGACACCATCCACGTTACGTCGCATGAATGAGACGGTGCCAGCTCCGACCTATGCGGAACGCAAGTTCGTCTGCTTTCTTGAGGAAAGGATGCAGTGACATCAGAACGGCGAGCTCTGATTGGTTTCGATTGGAAGGATAGTGGATAGACCTCGAGGCAGCGAGCACTGAGGTCTACTGACTATCCTTCCGTCAGAGCCAATCATAGCTTTGCGTTTTGACGTCATAAAACCCCCTTACAAGAAGCAGACCAACTTGCGATCCGCAATACCCGCTGTGCATTAGGTCGCGACTGTGCCTTTTTGCGGCCGTGTTTCTCGAACTCGCTCGGGAGTAAATGTTTGGCACCTTGAAATTAGAAAAACTACCCGCGTCGAGCATTGCTGTGTATGTGCTTTCCCGTCATTCGTGCCGCACGAGTTGTTCGGGGCTCGAATTATATCATCATGTCTCCCACGGCAACAGCGGCAAGGACTGCAACACATCACCATATTTTTCGTTTATCTATTCTCGAATATGCTGCCGCGAAGCGTTTGTGTGTTCGTCAGCCCCTAAATCAGGACGAGACGACATTCATCAGAGCCAGTAATTGATGAAATCTACATGAGAAGTATTTTTTGCTCATCTTATTATCAGATTGCACTTTGCTCGCCGGCGCATCGAGTAGACGTGCAGGATTGAGATCATCGAGGCGGCATTCGCCGACGCATGAACGGGATATCAGTGTTTTCTATTTCCATGTCTCTTGCAGAAAGAAGTTAGCGCCGAGTGTGGCCCCAAACATTTTGTATAGCGCTGTGCTCATATAAGCTGAAATGCTTTATAAACTAAGGTTGGCTGCTAAGCAGGATGTTTATTGACGGTCTGGTCGGTTTTAATGCAAATTCCTCTTCCTAGGAGCCGCACCGTGGCACCACTGTCTCGTCGCGCGCTTCCAATAGAAGTGGGCACAAAGAAAGCGACCATAAAATGTTCACATTTGGTACTGCTTACAAAAGAAATATAGAGCCGTTCCGGAAAACAAAAGCTACACTTACGCCGCGGTTACACCTGTAATTTTTGTTTGATCACTCTGTAGAAATGCAAGTTGAATTCCATACATTGCATAAAAGCACAATGCACTCAGACGTAAAACGTCCACATAAAACGTCCTCATAAAAGATAGACGTTTGTTCAGAACTCTTCAACAAAATATATGTGGTTCTCCCAAAAATCCCCTATTACGTGGTGTTCCCATAAACATTTTCCCCCCGAAAACAGGGCGTCCTTATACTTTTATTTCTTTCAAGCGTTCTTTAGACAGAAGTAGAACAACCTCATGACGGAAACTCATGCTGTCACTTTCAATTCTGATGAATTCTGAATGCCTGTTTTCGCAGCAAACCTGGGACGCACCCACCCCGAACATTCGGACCAACCTTCCAATGCCCTCCAAGATAGTCCAAATATTTATTGCTTATCTTTCAGAAATCACTTGATAGTTCTTCGGTCCCAAACGACTGGAAATTGGGTACCCTCACCACTAACTACTATTACTACTAATTCCAATTTTTAAGGAGGGTAATTCATGTTCCCCGGCAAATTATCGCTCCATTTCCTTAACATCGACATGCTGTAAAAAAAGTGAGCATATCATATGAAGCATATTCATACACTCTTAGCTAAGCTCGGCTTCCTAGACGGCTGCCAACATGGATTCCGAAAGGGGCTTTCTAATGTTACGCAACTGACAAAAATTATGCATGTTTTTTTTTTAACTTTAGATAGAAGCGGCCAGGTCAATGTTATTTTTTTTATTTTAAAAAGGCCTTCCATAAGGTGAACCACAGAAAGTTAATGTGCAAGATAAGACCTATGCTAAATACCGAAACTTTGTCAGGATGGATAGGGTCATTTCTTTCCGATTGAAAGCAGTTTGTTAGCATTGAAGATAACTACTCGGATCTTTGTGCTGTTACTTTTGGTGTGCCACAAGGCTCAGTTCTTGGGCCGTTGCTTTTTTTTATGTTTTTAGTCGATCTGGTTAAAGACATGTCGGTGCATTTGAAACTTTTTGCAGATGACTGTATTTTGTACACTAAGGTAATAACTTTGTCTGACCAAAGTAATTTAAGCGCGAACCTGCACAGGGTTAAGGATTGGTGCTCGAAGTGGCAGATGTCTCTGAATATAGGAAAAACCGTTTGTATGTCCATCACACATAAATTAAATCTCCTAGTTTATCCGTACAGCCGTGATGTGTCCTCTTAGAAAAAAGTAGACAATTATAAGAACCTCGGTGTTACTAGATCGAGCGATCTTCGATGGAACATGCATGCGACTAACATTGTTAAAAAAGAAAATACACGACTAGGATTTCTACGACGGTTCTGGAAACTAGCATCTACAGAGACTAAACTGCTCGCTTACAAAACGCTGGTTCGTCCCCTGCCTGAATACGTGTCGGAAGTATGGTACCCGCACATGAAAAGCCTAATCCTTGGCCTAGAAAGTGTACAGCGACTGGCCATGCGTTTCATTTATTTTAGATATCGCAGATCAGATTCGTCGACAGAGCTGTATGCGCTGTGTAATCTTCCGCTGCTTCAAGCTAGACGGGAGAATATACGCGTGAAGCTTTTTTTCATGATACTTTCTGGGTCATTGCTCATTGACCTATCACGTTACCTAACCCTTCATCAATCCCGTATCACTTTTAACAAACATTCGTGCCACTTACAAGAGTTTTCGTTCAATAAAGATTGTTTTAAGTCTTCCTTTTTTCCCCGTACGATGCGGGACTGGAATCTGTTCCAGAACATGTTTCTTTCACCGATCTTAAATTATTTCTTTCCCGGCTGGAGGCAACCTAACTATTGTATATTCTTGATTTGTATTGCTTTTTGGCGTTCCTTGCATTGTGCTTCGTTGCCGTGTTGCTTTACCTGTTGCTTTTACAAGTGTAACTTCTTGCCACTGCTGCCAAAGTCCTAATCAGGACTGAGAGTATGTGAAATAAAATAAGAATAAATGAATAAATTGAAAATCTTTTGCTTCCAGGTTACTCCGGCTCTATGTTGTTCACTCTGGCAGAGGACTGCCCCGTAGTCTACACCATCGATGACACCAAGCCTGACGGGAGCTATCCGGCCATCATCGGGTATGCTGATTCCATTTGCTCGCCTGGCCGGAATCATCACGCTAAGAGCCCGCTCTAAAAGGTTTAGTTTCATGACAGTACTTTCGAGAATTTTGAGTTTCTCAAACTAATGGCGATGTGCCGATATGTTCTGCTCCAGCAAAGTACTACTTCTTGAACTCCTATAAATCTTGCTTGAAAATTGACTGATGCAACAAGTCCATCAATGCCTAAAGCGCTTCATATTTCCTTTATCAATTTAAAAACTAATCCGCGCAGCGTGAAACCCTTTCGCCTTAATCGACCTTTTTTTCTGTAACTTCCTAAGCATATATTGTACTCTCCAAAACACGCCCGTGAGTGTAATATCCTGTAACCCCAGTCATCCAATCACTGACGTCTATGGAAGGATATTGGCAAGTGACCTGGCCTAGAAACTCGTTTGACATAAAAATGAAAGCCGCTATATGTCACTCAGTAAATGTAAGTATGTGTCGAGCGCCATGCTCAGTGTCTTCTGGAAATTGACGCATAAATGCATGTGTTTAATCGAACTCAGCGTCGTGGCTCAAACACTGGTTCTTCTCTTCCAGCTTTCTTCCGGCAAACAAAGCTAGAACATTGTTGAAGCTGAAGCCAGAGCAGAGAAAAGAGATGATAATCAAGAGCTACGCAGAGGCCATGAAGACCGAGGAAGCACTTCATGTAGGCACTCTCTTCTTCCTCTCATTATCGTATTTGCATCGCTGGCTGAAAGCCGTTTACTGGCTAATATGCTGTTCGATCAGCTTTGCAAAGGCTGGCAATCTTGGAACAATTTCTTGTGGACACAGAAGACTATAAAACAAAATGAGATGCCATCTTACAAAAATCAAAACTCTCTCGCAGATTTATTCTAGTAATAGTGAACTGATTGTCGCCTCTTTTTTTTTAAAGAAAAATAGTGGACAGAATTACGCAATACTGTACTTGGCCGTGTATTTTTCAGCATTACTTCGTCCTTTCTGCAACAATTTTAAGACTCCCTTTTTAAGATTTTCTCTAGAATTATTATGGTAAACACTCTGAGAAAAGACACATAAAGCTAGAAAAGGAAAAAGAGGGTCTCGGTGTGCAACCAGGGTTACATTTTTTCTGTCTAAAATCCTACCTCCTTCTTATGAGCAGTGTCTATACCCCGTGACTACTTTTCTCGGCATTTCCGGGGAGAGGGGAAGTGCCCGCGCACAGCTTTATTCAGCGCTCAAAATGGGAGAGGGAACGCGTGCCTGTACCTTGCACTGTATTGCAAAAAAAAGTTGTCGCGGACCATAGTAAGTTCATGAGCTCAAATGCGCTACTGTGAACGAGATATTTCGGTCGGGCGCAAGCGGGTAGCCTTTCTTCGTTACGTCACAGTTTACGGACCAACCAGTCCGAAACGAAGAAACAAGATTAGATAAATGTTGGCCGTACTTGATCATAAATTAGGTGAAATCACCAACATATGATCACTTTTTTTCAGCGTTTCGAAACTGTCAAATTATGAATTGAACGTTGGGAATTGTTTTTGTTTTTTGCATTATTTCAGCCTATTCATTACGAAGAGTTCAACTGGGCTGGAGAGCAATACTCTGGTGGTTGCTACACTTCCATGATGCCCCCCGGCCTGCTCACGACCTTCCGGAGGTACGCTTATATAAGAACCGGCAGCGAACTAAAGAAATATACTTCGTATCCGTTTAGAACTATGTGCAACACTAAGGTCCGCGTCGCAAAGTCAAGCGCCTTCATAACGAATTCCGCGGGACCGGCAAGAATGTTCGCTGTACAAGCCCCTTCGTTGTATAGAGGTTGAGCGAATACCACCTGGGAAGCAAAGGACTGATCATTACGTCATCGCTAGTGGGTCCTCGACCTGCACCAAGTGGCAAATGCGCTGCAGCTCGACGAGGGTAAGACGCGAAGTGGCAGACGCGAGTTTCTTGGTCTCCCCTCATGCTGTAGTATCACTTTTCTTGTGAGGTAAAGCCCCTCGATATGTTTTCGTTTGTCTTTGCAAGTAGCGCCAAATGCGCGAGCGCACGTGGCCTAAGACTCGAGCGGCCCTTGGAAGCAAATGGCGGCGCGGCACTGAAATGAGCGGCCCTTGGAAGCGAATGGCGGCGGAGCACCTGCTCGTGGCACGTGTCTTGCGCATTTCCACAACAATGGTTGGCGGTACTTGTGAAAACACCTTTATCAAGGGGCTTTATTGTGAGGCGCTGCAAAACGCCCTCTGGTGGCCACGCTGATGGAAGCTAGGTGACGCCGCTTCGATCCACTAGCTCCAGTGGTGATGATGCTGGGGAGGGGGGGGGGGGGGGGGGGGGGGGGGAGAGGGCGAAAGGCGCGCGCCATTGTGTTCGGGGTGGTATTTATTGTGTGCGTGAAAATAGATCACGCGCAATAGAATGTGAGCCATCGTGTAGAACTGCAACCTGCCCGACGTGTAGGAGCCGCTTTTTCGCGGTTCCGTTTTAGGTTTTTGTTGATTTTGGCGCTGAGTGAGGAAAATTTATAGTTCATTCAGATTCCGCTTGTTATCTACTTCTGACAGCGGGTCTACAGACTACAGACCCACAAAGAAGGTAAAGTGCCTTTCGACCGAGACTCGGAAAGAATCTCGGTGAAGATCGACGCGCTCGTCAAACAACTCTCCGTACAACAAAAAAAAAAAAAGATTGCAACTGCCCCCCCCCCCCCCCTGCAAAAAAAAGAAAAAAAATCCTACTTTTGCGCTAGTTTGGGCGATCCTGGATGGCTGACATTCACATAAATGAGGTGCCCGGCCGTTTTTCGCCCCTGGAATCACTGGCCCGTTGAGGGCATCAGTTAAGTTTACTGAAAACCTACCTCTTATTAATATTTTTTTTTTGCGGTGCACCACAATATGTAGCAACTGAGGTTTAATGAATTATTTATCACAAATACCGGAAATTCGGCTAGGTGGAATGTGACGGCTGTATCAACATGAAAAAAAAAAAAAAAAATGCAGCGACACGGAAACACCGGCAAAAATCCGTCAACTTGTCCTTGTTTTTGTTTTGTATTTCTTTTGTTTGCTTGAGTTGTTTTGATTTTCAACAGGGTGGAGAATCAAAGTCAAGATAATTGAAATCATTATTAAAATCATGATTTAAGTCGCGATTTCAAACCCGCTCCGTCTGACCCCGCACTCCCTCCTGCCGGCGCTGCGTCCCGTTCTGCTGCTCTCGGCGCCGAAGAACGTCGCGGCACCTGAGGCATCTATTGGGTGTCTCAAACAGCCGCCAGGGTCTTTAAATCGACCGCGAATTTGGTTTCTTAACCTATCGCGCTACGATTTTCTGTAGCGTTGCCCACAGGTAGTGCATTTTTTCTATAAAATTTGCAAAGAGCGAGCTTACATGAGGAAAAAGTAAAAAAAAAAAAAAAAGGCTTAACTCCCGTGGAAACGCAACGAAGTCACCGGTCTTCAACCTATAGAGCGCCCTCTTGATTGCAACTATTGGGCGCGCCGAAAAGAATTGTTTTTGTTCTTTTCAGGGGCTTTTTGAAAATGAACTCCGCTTCATTTTTGTTTTCGAGAAAAAAAAAATAGCAGCAATGCTATCTTCAGTAGCACATAGGAAGACCCCACGTCAAATATTACGACGTATAGTTCTGCCGCAAACTTTGCAACGCTCCAAGTGGCCGAAATCGGCTGGCTCTAGCGGCCGAATTGAGGCGGTGCAACCAACAGCGCAGTCAAGGCTGCGGCGTTGGCGTAGCCAACATTAAACTAAACGTCACCACTATTTTCCCTTTTTAGTTTGTTCTAACTTCTCCGAGCGAGCGTAACGGGTGACGTCAGCATCGTTTCTTCTCGGCGCTTAGCGGTGTCCACGGGATACGCGCCTGTGCAGCGCGCCTCTTGGGAGCCGTCCGGCCGTCCTGCCGTCCGCGTTGCCACCGTTCTCCGCGTCACAAACGCCGTAGTCGTCTCACTCCCACCGTTTGTGATTATTGTCTCGGAGTTTCGTTCACGTGCGCAGACTGATGCCGCAGCTGTGCAGACTCGGGGGCTCCGAGGCGAGAGCGCCGACTTTTGGATCCCCACGTGGCGGGTTCGAATCCCGGCCGAGCTGCCCGCAATCTGACGGAGTCTTATTGCTGAGAAGGCGCCGTGTAACCTAGCTTTAGGTTCCACGTCAAAAGATCCCCAGGTGGTGGAAATTAATTCTCAGTCCTCAGCTGGGACGTGGCAGATGCCCGTCGTTCGTTTGGCACGTAAAACTGCCAAATTTGGCTTTGTCAGCTGTGCAGACGTCTTCGAATGTCGTAGACACCAAAACGTGGTGATAAGTTTGGTGGAGACGCCACCTGTGTCTGGCCCACGCCTGCCCCACGCCTGCCCCAGCGATGGCCCGCCGGACCACCCGAATCCCGCCCGTCTTTGCGTAGAGGATCACGTGACATCTTGTACCACGTGATAGTCTTTTATTAGTGGTTTTTATTGTGAAATTATTCGTTCTCATAAAAGTTTCGGAATTGGGGGGTGTTGCCCTTTAAAGTGGTTCTTTACCGCGGCTCTCTGGTACCAGCTGCCGCATTTATATTTCTTTTTCGACCTCCTTGATGCTCGCGTCATTTGAGTGCGACGGTTTTGTTGAAATCGGTTACTTTTTCCCCTGAAAGTTCATTATAGCCGTCATGACGCCTTGGGGGACCTTGTGTTTGATTCGTTAGACAGGATAATTCGTAAAACAAATTCGCTGTATTGGTCATAAATCACATTGAACACATAGAAAATCGGCCAAAACTTAAGTTCAACTTCAGGAAGCAGGCATTTTCATGGTACAAGCGTTCGTTATATATCGCTATGACTGTTGATCTGTCGGAATTGAAATTGACGCGTTTCCAGATTGCGATATTTCTGGGTCCGAAATAGCGACAAGACCGCGTAAGAAATTGTCGCCATGATTGGAGCGACATGTTGACAAGACATCATAGTTCTGGCATGGCGCCAAATGGATTCGGAGAACGGACGAAAGGTCAAACTGGTATAAAAACCACGGTGTTGAACTCCTGTGGAAATGAGGTCGGTCAGGCAAGGTGCGCTATCTAATATCTCTCATGCTGATTCGAAGGAATTATTGCGACATATGCACAGTTTCGAACGCAAGAACAGGGTAAACGAGTAGAGAGAAAACGGACATATCTCGCTCTGTATTGTGGCGAAGAAAACAACGTCTGGTAATTGTGTGCGTGATTGATTGAAGTCACCGTTTATTTATTTGACTTTTTGAGGGTGTTTTTTTTTAACAGATAATGGTGTGATATAACTGTCACCTAACCATGAAAAAACAGAGAGTGCGCAGGCGAGCTGGTGGATGCTGGTCATGATGTAGAATACCCGAGACTGTGGTAAGCTTACAAAAACTTGGTCGAAGAAAAAAGACAGGGAAAAAGAGCGTCTTTTCCCCTGTTTTTTTTCCCTTTCTTTTCCCCTGTTTTTTTTTTCTTCGACTAAGTTTCCCAGCTTTTACCACAGTCTCGGGTACTGTACATCTTGACCTAATCATATCCGGTTAGGTCCCAGCAACGGAGGTTGACAGTTTTTGCGGACTCTAACCAAAGTTTTATTCAAAAACACATAAACCCGACGTTTCGGGACCCGCTCGGTCCCTTGGTCACGGGTGGGGGCGCGGTGGGGAAGGTTGCCCAGGTGGTTGGCCTTGCTGAGGCTTAACCCAGAGGGCGCGGGGGAGGGGGCGCGGTGTGAAAGGTTGCCCGGGCGTTTGACCTTGCTAAGGTTTACCCCAGAGGGCGCGAAGCCCAGACACGTACGCGCTCGGGAGAGTGCCCTTGGACCGGTTCACGTTCTTACTCGTTGTTTGGACGGGCCGACTCCCAGTCGAACGCTGACGCAGCGCTCGTCTAATCACTGATTGGGCACCAGTGCCAGCCGAACGGCAGCCCTTTGGTGTGTTTGTGCTCGTCCTACAAGTAGCGTCCAATGCTCCAATGTACGAGGCCAGAGCCAGGTGCGGCTTTTGGAAGAAAATGACAGTAGACCAATGAAATGAGCACCTATTGGTAGCGAATGGAGGCGCAGCACTTGTTCGTGCCACATGTCTATGTGTCTCGAACGTTCGTAAAATAATGATTGTCGGTTTCCTCGCAGCGTGCTGCGGGATCCTATTGGACGCCTGTTCTTTGCGGGTACGGAGACGGCGACCGAGTGGTCGGGCTACATCAACGGCGGCATCCAGGCCGGAGAGAGAGCGGCACGAGAGGTGCTGCACGCCCAGGGAAAGCTTCCCAAGGACCAGGTCTGGCAGAAGGAGCCTCCCAATGACGTGAGAATTTCGATTACTCGACTTGCTGCACGTTTTTTTGAAAAAGCATCAAGGTGCCAATGAGGAGACAAGAGACTTCTTCGTGGTAGTCGAGGCCGGTAGAAGGAACTTGAAAGTGCATGTGGCAGCCGGCGTTTTTGTCACGACACTTACCTTTTTCAAGACCATAAAGAAAGTGAAGCTGAGTGTTGTGGACGATTGGTATTTGGGTGCTGTGGAGCCGAGTTTCCGTTTACATTAGGTATTTAAGGTAGACGGACTGTAGAAAATGGAACGTTTGCGAGTTGTTTTGGGGCGACAGCGAATTTAAAACAAAGGCTTCTTGATGGAAGCTTGTGGAGAAACTCGTCAAACCTTTTCGTTGGATGTACCTCGTTGTCTCAAGCTTTTGCGTCTTACAGCGTGTTTTTTTTTTAAACAGTGATAACTGTTATCGGCTCTTCCCACCACTGGAAATGACGTTCGTTGTTGATGGTGTAGTTTCAGTTTTGTTGATTTTGTCGTTGGTGTACTTGGACGTAGGGTGTCCGACGTTGATCTTGTCAAATCTTTGGAAAAATCGCCCTCCGCCCGCGGGAGTTGAACTTGGGCTGGCTTGCTAAAAACAGTCTTGGCTAAGACTGTGTGAAAGTAAACACTGCCGAACATAGGGCACGAGCAGAATGGCACGTGGGTTCGAGTCTCAAGGGTTCTCGTGTCCCAGGTTTGGCAGGCTTTCTTTCATAGAGTCTCAGCTAACTAAACCCCCTTCACATGACTTGTAACGCAGCTCCCTTAGCAATCGGCTAATCAGCTGGTCTTGGGTCACGAGCACATTCCACGCGCGAGGGATCGCGAACGGATTCGCCACCGACCATAAAGATTCATTAGCTGAAGGGACCTTTATGATCGTGTGAATGAAGTACACTGAATCTAACAAACCGGCTTTGAATCCGCTGCGTGCGAAGCGAAGGCGTTACCACAGAGCCACGCCACAGCCTTAACAACCCGCTTTATACTTAGGTTCTTTGCAGTACCCGATGCCCAATGCACGCGCCCTCTGGAAAAATACGAAGAAATATCCGATAACAAAAATGCCGTCGTGGCACTGCAGTGCACTAAAATATGAATTAGTGTTGGGACTGGAACGGCACACGTGAAGCGTGTGGTGTAGATCGCGATAGGTGTCGACACTGGCGCATCGGCAGCATGGTCAGTATGTTGGTGATCGTGCGCCTGTACCGTTTGCGCATGCTCATGAGGCGGCACGTGCGGACTGTCGCGACTTTCTGCTGCGCTGTCAAGTGCAGCGCCGCGATTGTTGTCTGCACGCGCAGCCGGATAAGTTCGCACTATCGAGTCCCGCCGGTCCAAACACTACCCCGTATTCTAGTACACTGTAGTGGCACTGTCAATGACAAGAGCTCGTGCTCAACACGCGCTTTCACGCTCTCCGAAACACATACACAAGCGCGCGCACACACGCACGAACGAACGCACGCACAGACACGCACACACACACGGACACGCACGGACGAACAAAAAAAAAAGCGCTTGGAACAAAATTACCATATGTCTCTGTTGTTCCGAACGCTTTCCTTCAAGCATTCCTAGGTACCTGAACCCGACGCCGAGACTCAACGACTTCGCCGTGACGTGTCGCAGCTATCGATATGACTGTAGTTTTGATAACACAGGAATTCTAAAATTTTTAAACTTTACATCCTTGTCTTGAAAAAAACAAACACACACACACACACACACACACACGTGAAAGCGGTCTGTGCAGGTGAGTTACATGGCGAGGGGGACACACTATGGAGGACTAGTCGTCGCGATGAGTCAGATAAATAACTCATGTGTGTTACTTAACTAATTAATTAGGGAAAATAAGCCTATTGTTCCAATTAGAAACTTGCTGAGCGGCATAGAACCTCCAAAGCAGTAAATTTGGTAACGATTTAGAGTCTCTGAAAAGCACGGCGGTGCGCTAAAGTTACCACCTGTACAACAGGCGCAAAGATTTCGGTGTGAAAACACAAAAAAGAAGAGGCGGTATAGCTGCGCGGGCGCCTGTCTCACCTGCAGCCTTGCGCCCGTTGCACGAACAATAAGATAGGCGTTTCAATGTTTTAAAGAATTTACGGATTTAGTGGTTTTCTGTGATGCTGCCCAAGTTTCTAATTAAAGCCATGTGTTTATTTTCACCATTTTAAACAAATAATTAACAAATATTACTTTATTAACCGAGTTATCGTGACGATTAGCATTTTATAATATGTCTCCCTGACCTTATTACTAACTTCTGCAGATTGCATTAGTGAAGCGTTCACGACTTTTTTTCAAAATAAGTATGCAATGCGTAGGATGAACACCATGTATATTCAGTAACAACGTTGGGAAGGGTTTCGGCTTAATTCCATTAATTGTAAGTAATTAATACCTTTAGTTCTTTAGTTATGCGACATAGAAGACACAGTCATACTGCGTGTCTCGTTTTCCCATCTGGAGGTATGTGCACGCATAGTAGGGCAAGTGATTTTCAAAAGAGGCCATGCACTAGAGTGGAGACTGTAGGTGTTATACGTTCGTGTTCACCAACTGTCCTCTCTTGATGCCAACCAGTAAAATGTTCTTGTAGTGTCACAGTGCCCTTGTGAAGAAATGTTAAATCATTAGTTAGGGACATCCATGATCGTGCAGTACGGGGAAGAGAGTACCTTCTGAGCACTGGACTGGGATGCGGGTGACAGCAGGCTCGAGAAGAATTTGTCGTGAGCGGAACAGCTTCAGATGAAAGAGTTTTTAGACGTCGGGTGGAAGTTTTCTTTGGAGAAGTCACCTGCATCACAAAAACACGGGCTCTCGTGCTCGTCGCCGATGTCACTTTAAATACCCACTGGCAACTGGAAACGTTTTAGGGCTGATTTTTAATTCATTAATCACATAAGCCGACGATTCTTCTTCGCCGGTGTGTCAGCTTGATGTGGCAGTGCAGTTGCATTACAGCTTAAAATAACAAAAAAGTATAAAAAAAAATAAACAGTGCAAACACACACTCAGGGAGCGCTGTGTTTGTTCATTTCTTTTATGCTGTTCTTTTTTTTTTGTGTCCTTTTATTTCATTTATGTTACTATGCTTAGGACCAAACACGTGGCAACAAATTGCTCCAAGTTCACGCATTGCTGATGGAGTAAAGCGCGAAACACATGTACGACGAAACCGTCCGATCCGACGTCCGACCGCGTAATACGACGGTCGGAGGCGAGGGTTTTCGTAGCATCGGAGAGCGTTGAAAACCCTCGCCTCCGACCGTCGTATTGCGCGGTCGGACGTCGGATCGGACGGTTTCGTCGTACATGTGTTTCGCGCTTAACAACTGGTGGCTTTCTCTCTGCAGTTGATCGTGAGCCAACCCTTCGTGGACACGTTTGCGGAAAAGTACATGCCGTCCGTGCCGGCGTTCTTGACTGCGGCGAGCCTGCTGGCAGTACCAGGCCTCGCACTCAGCTGCTTCCTGCTCGTCAAAAGAGACCTGCTTAGGTTTAACTACTCAGATTTGTGATTCGACCATGGACATCAGATGTGTTGGCGGAACTTGTTGATTTTTCTTTAAACCTTTCCGTTCGTTACAATATGTTTTCTGGGTTGAATAAAAGAGTGACGGCCTTTACTCGTTTCTGCACCTTCGAAAGCACAAACTGCACCCGGCCGCACACGCCTCGCGTGCACCAAGACAATACCTCAGCGTTCCTTCCCTGACATCACGGAGTGGTGGAGGAAGTAACCCCAACGTTTACGGTGACAGCCGTTATTGGCGAAATTTCGCAGCGGATCCTGGGCTGTTTCGTGTAAGCAGTGGCATGACGTCATGGTGTCATTGACGTCATGTGACGTCAAAAAGAATTCGCTGAATGTCGAGGCAAAATGTCCACGCTGTATCCACGTGACGCCACGGGATACTGCGGCACCATGCGACAGCATGATGTCACTCGGAATTGTGACGTCACGTGGGAACACTGTAATGTCATGGGACACCATAGCGTGTATTGTGGCGTCATGGTTTGTGTGCAGTGTGGTTATGGAGGACACGACAAATATTTGTGAACATATTTTTTTTATTAACAGAAAAAGCTAAATATATGTAAGTGCTAATTCCTACGGTTTCAAATGAGGAGGAATGTGAACTTGTCATCATGAGCCTCCTAAGCAGCAGAAAATAAAACAAGTCACATTAATTTCCTTGGCATAGATAAGCTGCAATATGTAGCATATGCTTTTGTTATGACTTTCAACAAGCTTATAAGACCTGAGGGGGAGTCAACGTTCCTGAAGGTATGTTTTATTTTTATTCTGATATCCAAACAAACAAAAACTAACCACCAAAATCAATTTGACCTGAGGAAGGAACAGATCCACGATCGGGCTAATTAGTCCAGGAGGCAAGAGAAACATTGGATTTTAAAGAAACACTGCCTGCTTTTGTGTGCTATCAATACCCGGCCGACTGAGTCAAGGCAATCCGCATTCCAAGACGTTGCCATGCCGACAACTATGGCGTCCATTTACTTAGTAATAGCCAGAATCAAAAGATTATTTTAAAAAGGGCGGCGAGGTCATTGCTCATGCTTTGCGATTTAAGTGAGGTAAGGGAAAGCGAAAGTCTCCTGCACCATTCGTTGCTGACTAACGCGCCCGATATTGCAGCTACAACGACATATTAGTTCCAAAGCGAGCGGCGCTCAGTCACCGGGGCACCGCCATGTTTCCCCGCGTCCCTACCGAGCCAGTCACGTGACTTAAAAATCCCCCTCCTAGGTACTGCGGCTAACTTTAGCCGCGGTTAGCGCTTCGAGCAAACGGGCCCAGAAGTGCTGTAAGAAACACGCAAATGGTACGCCAGATAACTTAATAGATCTATAAAGGAAAAGTGTGGGTTGTCTGGACCAGCGAATAACTGTACCCAGAACTCAAAATGGTGTCCGAGTAAAAAAAAAAAAAAAAAAAAAAAGATGAGGCTCCGCAAATTTGCAACTTATTTCAATTAATTAAAACCCAGACTACGTTCACCTTTAAAGCCGACCCACCATTTTTTCTCCAATCCCTTTTCCGTTTTCCCCAATGACCAAAATATCCAATTAATGACCATAATCAAATTTGGGGAGAGTCCATTGTGTACAGTACGCGATACTGTGAGCGCGAACAATATAATTAATCATTTTGTTGGAATAGAAAAGCAAGTAATGTTATAATAACTTTTCAAAAAAGGTTACTTGTTTTCAAGTAACAAAAATGGACTTAAAATCTCATAATTTGAAAGAATAATGAACACGGAGAAAGAATATAGACCCAACTTTTTTAACAAGAGTGGTTCATGGTCGAAAAAACCACGAGACTGCGGGTAAACGACACCAACACTAAAAAGTCTCTACTAAGAGTGGTTGTTAGCCTATGTCGTTTGTGTGTTTTTATTTTTTAAATAAAGTAATAATTTACTAGGCCATCTGCATCTTGCATCACGACCTGGGGATCTCAACTTGTCAAAGACAAAGTTGGGGCCAAAGTTCACGGAGCGCAACGATTGGACTATCCGAAGCATTTTTTTCGCTGGCGTCCAATCGGCGCGCTCCGCGAACTTTCGGCATCAACTTTGTGTTTGGCGAGTTTAGGGCCCCTGTATTAGGTATTGAAGGGACTCACAAACGGTCTTTGCCCATTGTTCTTTACGGCTGAAGTAATAGGGTGGGCTAGTTATTAAACGTAAATAGTACCAAAAATATAGGACAAGAAGGAGACAGGACTAGCGTTATGCTCACAACTGCCGTTTTAACGTAGTTATTAAGAAAGAGAAGCCGAATAGTAAATATATTCAGAAGAAGAAATAGACAAAAGCGGCAGAATGAAACGGAACGAACAGGATACATCGAAGCAAATGCAATGATCAATAACTTGTAATGAATGGCAACACGGAATGACATTAAATAAGGAGGAAGGAATCTTTTTCATAAATGTTTCAATGAAAATTTAAAAAAATAAAAAAAAAAACCTTTACAAATAAACAGAGTTAGTATAGTTAACTTTCCTGGTATCTGCGAGGTCGCGCTACAAAAACAGAGCAATAAAAGTCATTGAAATGATTTCTTTGTGGAAGCATTCAATACTCTGGATATTGTTTGACTAAACTTTATGGCATTGACGTCAAGGCGCTGCTGCTTCTAAAATACAATGATGAAAAATCTGAGGGCCGCACAACAGGAGTGCGCATGCCAGGGCTCAACATGTACACGACCGAGTGCACGTGCCCAAGAACTGGCGAGGCTCACACGTGTCGCACTAATGCCGTGGTTCGCTGTTCGTTCGAAATTAAAACAAGGCTAGCCGAAGGTTTTTCAAAATAAATTTTAAGACGCACAAAAAAAAAACAAAAAAAAACAAAAATAAAATAAAAAACTGGCTTCGAATAACATTAATTTCCGGAGTTCGAGGTTTCAGCGATTTTGTATGAAGTTAGTTCTGAATTCTAAATAGTCTACACAAAGCGAAGGTCTGCTCATTGATAATAGGAATGGGAACTGAGTTAAAGGTACATGCTTTGTCGTAAAAATTTGGTAAATCCCACGGATGGTTTTTATGCAGTGTTTTATAACGGTTCGTGCATATGGCGATTATCAACTTATAATAATTGTAGCGAGAATCTTATGACTTCATCAAGACGAGATACCTTATAGTTGCTTCTATTTTATTATAAATTGCGGACCGTAAAAATAGTCGAAGCAGGAGAGGCATAGAGGAGAAAATCATGCAAAATTACCGTTGGAAATCACCAAACAAATGTGCAGTTCGCAAGAGTTAAGTTAAGCAGCCAACAGTCATGTGTTGTTCAATGAGAATGCATGGGCATTGTCAGTAGACAACACATGGCAGAGATGAAGACTCTGTTAAAAACACGATTAACGATAAAATCAGTTCACAAGTACATTTTCTCATGATAAAACAAAATGTGAAGATACGATATATTTCAGACGATAGGTTTTTACATCCGTTCATACGCGAGAGAACGATATTTAAACGGGTTAGTATGTTCGAAACACACGTGAACTATAACGATGGTGGCGTTTAGCACGTGCTGATGCAGGCTGTTTCAGGTCACTGAGTTAGGGGATTCTACTTACTTTACTGCGGCGCGAGGTAGATCTCACTCCGTAGATCGCTGGTGAGCACTGTTACGGCCGGGTCCGTCCGAAGGCTGCGGTAGGCTCCGATGGAGAAGAGACGCTCCGAAACCCAGGAATTCCGAAGAAGCGGGTTCATTGGCGTCTCGCCACCACACTTTGCCCGTCGGACAAACAAATGAAAGAAAATACTAAAAATTTATGCGCTGTCGTATCCGACAGATTCACCTGGAGGGGCCCACGCTACGTGCTAAGCAGATTTGTGGGGATGGGGAAGCTGTAAAAAGAAAGGCTCCGAGGACCAGAGCCTCCCACAACGAAAGAGCCCCAGCCACCGTTTTGGTGTCGGATTATCTAGCCTAAGGGTTACGCGCGCCGGGTTAGGTGGTATGCCTTAGGCTGCCGATGGATCGCCTCCCTCTTTGAGGGAGGCGATCCACCACTCTCTTGGAGGAATTCGGCCTCGCCTCGTATCCGGGAAGCCGCCTCCAAAGCGTTCTCCACGACCTGCGTGTGCTAGACGTGCATAGGGAGACGGGAAGACGTGATTCGCACAGAGTAAAAACAATCATTGACTTGATGCAAAATATTATAAATAATTATTCCGGTGTGGTTTTCCAGAAATTGGAGTTTCTTGACTGTAACTGAAGTTAAACTTGCTTTAAACAAATGGTAGAGCCTGCACTTTTAAAGTACGTTTTGAGGTTAGAGTGTGAGGAGACACTAGCCCAATCTAGCTTCAAAATATTAACATACTATACTTTAAAGAATGAAACACTTGTAAAAGCATAAAAGCATAAGTAGCTTATATCCATCGAGCTTTCAGGAAGCTGCCGAGGATATATTTATGTGGCTCGACCAACTATTGTTAACCCGAGGTTATTCGGAATTAGAAAATTGAGAACTGAAAAGGTTGAACAACACTAACATCTACATGGTTTTGTAGTGTGATGATTAGATAAACCTTTACTTATTTTAATTTTAATCCTCACGCCTTACCTCAAGTCTGATTATTTCGCAGGCTAGAGTCAACAATAGTTTGTTGTAAAAAAAGAGATATTGCATTATATACAGACTTGTACACGTTACTGAAAAAAGTAACCGATTACAAATACAATTACTTTACTGTAAGAAGTAACCGATTACAATTACAATTACAGCCTCAAAAAAGTAATCTAAACATTACTCTAAAGTAATCGATTACTTCCCACGTTACTTTTCGTTCAGATTTTTTCTATTACTTGTGGGAACCATTGGGTTCCCTCTATCCCTATCCAGGCCTAGCTTCAAGCAGGCCGTGGGAGTCGTCGTCACCAATGGCGTCGGCCTCCCGGATACAAGGAACCACGAGGCCGAATTCCCCGAAGGGGCCGGCTCTCCCTTGCCCATTTGGGTGAACGCGCCTTCGGCACACCCTTGAGAGTTATAATGGACGCGACTGCTAGTGGCCTCCCCGGGCGCGTCCATTCTCCGAGGCTACATAAGCTGGCCCCGAAGGTGGGCCAGGGAGCTCTCGTCGGCGGAGGCCCTGGCTCTACGGAGCTCGGTTTTTCTTTTGTGGGCCTCCGACTTCCCGTGAATCTGTCTAATGCGGCAGCGCGGGAAACCGACCGGGTGATCCTGTCAATTAAGGCAGCGCCAACCTCATTTCTCTCTTGTTCCGCCTACGGGCGTAAAGCGTGTGGCGTAAGGCCAATAAACACGTTTCTACGGTATCCCTGTGTTTGGTGTGGTCTCCCGTCCACCGGAGCCTAGCGGCAACCAACGGACGGACCCGGCCGTAGCCGCCATAGCAGCGGACTGCGGAGTGGGTTTTGCCTCACAGCGATCAGCAAGGTAAGTCGAAACCCACCTTTTGCAACCGACGAGTTACGGAGTGGGTATTTGCCTCACTGAGGACTTTGGGGTAAACTAGAATCCCACAACTGGCGCCCCAACGTGCGGCCCGTCCGGCGTCTGCAAACAAAGCAGCACGTTCGCAATGACAGCGAACCAGGCCAATTTCCGGCCTTGGACTTCGTGGACGGAGGGAGAGGCGAACGCCCGACACCCGACGCCACTCAACGGCTTAGTGGCCACGTCAGCCACACAAAGGCACAATGGACAAGTGTCTCGGCCGAACGCCTTCCCAAACGGAGGTGACTCAACGCCCGGAATACGTTTGAGGCATTCCCTTTCGGGACGACGCCAGCCTACTTCGCTGGGGAGGCGCACCTGCGCTTTTCGAGGTCAAGCCCGTTCTCGAACAAAGCACGGTGACGCAACACGAAGCAAGTGCAGCTTTTTGCCTTCGAGACGGCTCGCGGGGCCCACCCAGAGTGGACACCCCGTCAGCGCACGAACTAAAAGCGTATCTCGAAGCGAGAAAACGCGCTGTGCCTGCAACACCGGTCCCAGTCTAGCGAGGTTGCGGAGACCGCCGATTGGTGCCCTTCGTCGCCGCGTCGACGGACCAGTAGCCATCAGGTTGACCAAGCGACCCCCGGAACAAAGGCCCCCCGGGAAAACTGAGTGAGTCAGAATGATTTCCTTTTTACTCCGTCTTTCCTTCCCGCTATCAAGGGACAGAGGACTGGCGTGAGCATGGTTTTCGGCTACTAGAATTTAGTATGTTCCGTTTACCCGCGATCGACTCCGGCCAAAAGTCAGTGAGCGTCGCACGCAACAATAACGTTAGGAACCTTTCAGGGTCACCTATCGAGTTGCGACCCTGTAAAAGCGACGTGAAACGTGAAAACGCCGCGGGGTCCGGGAGCAGTTCAATCGTGCTACCGGGCAGTGCAACAGGTTGAACTGCGTCCCGAGAGGATTGCGTGTCCGATTAAGGTGACCGCCATGCGGTCACTGGACGAGATCGTGAGCCGCGGAACTCGAAGTGTTCGTTGGGAATCGACTGTAGCACCGATGAGTTTTTGATGCCCAGCAGAACGATCCGGGGTGTAAATATGTGAATAGTTGTAAATACTTTTGCGGACTCTGCGGAGTCGGGCGGTGCGTCCGCCGGGCGGTACGCTCGCCACTAACGTCGCTAAGCAACTCGTATTGTTGCAGACGGGCTTTGGCAGCCGGGCAGCGTACTCGCCGGGTCGAGCAACTCGTGTTGTTGCCGATCGGTGCCGTAAATAGTCTGGTATTGCTATTGGCACGGGGTTTCTTTTTTATTTGGGATCGGTTTCTGTTCTTGCTGATGCGGATAAACTCGTGCTACGTCGCTTGGCCTCTACGAATATTGCAGTTTAAGGTGGCTGTCCTGCGCGGCTGGGAGGTGCATTCGGTGCTCTCCTTTGTTCGCGTTGGCCAGGGCAGCACGCGGCTCCAAGACTTTTCGAAGTTAGGTCGCTGTGCTATACCTGGCCACAGGCATTTGTGTTTTAGTCTCAGGTAAAAGCTAACATGTTTGAAAAATAACAATGTTGGCGAGCCTGCCCGATTGCAGCCCTGCATCGTTTCAATATCACAAGAAAGGACAGGGTGGTGCATTTGACACTTCATTGCGCCCGCAAATCGAAGCGATTAGGCATCGTTAGCAAAAGAAGCTACAAAGTACTTTGCCTAGTCGATCAGTCACCAACAAATCTATTGTCCGGGGTGACGCGAGTCAGCTTGGTATGTGGACATCCGTGTTCGCATTAAGCGGAGTCGTGGAACTATTTTCACAATAACTTCGCGAGCCGAGCCAGTGCGATGCACGTGACTCACGGCAGAAAAGACACCTTTGTCTCTGCCTCTTTTTATCTCTGGGTCCTTGAGCACCCAGGGATTGGTCGAGTGTCCTCAGTTGGACGGCTCCACCTTGCTCGGAATTTCCGAAGCTTCCTTCTTGGGGAACGAATCGGGAGAGGGGGGCAGGGCGCAGGCGGCATTCCAGTTCCCGGCGGTTCCTGGGTCATGGTTCCACACCGAAGCTGCATTGACGCCAGGGAGCGTCATCGTCGCCGTCACCGGCCTGCCTGTCCAGATCCGGCTCCTCGGCTGCTGGCCAAGATGGCGGCAGCCACCCCCCCCCCCCCCCCCCCCCCTGCCTGGACTCGTCTCCAGGCCAGCAACACGTGGCCTCTCGTCGCAGACCCAAGCTGTGGACCCGTGCCGACAGCAAGCAGCTCGCATCCCGTCACGGACCGGTGACAGTGCCCGTGCCACATGGTGCGTCCCCAAGGAGAGACGCCCAGCCGCCGTACTTTCCGCGGTTCCGCGAACATTTCATCGGGGAGTGACCGGGCCGTTCCTTCCTGCCCCCGGCCAGGCCCCTACGCGGTCCGTTCAACGCTGCTCCCGGTAAGCCTGCCAAGAAGCGTGGGCTGCAGAGTTTGACGGCACCGGGGCTTCACTATGCAAGCAGCGAGCTAGCGTTTTTTCAGCATGTACCGCGCTGATCGTTTTTTTTTATTTCTTTGTTTTTCTTCGCGGCATGCTCTTTCGCTCTCGCGTTTCGGCTTTTTTTATTTTGTTTTTGAGAGCCGGTAGGCCATTTTATTTTTAGGCCTACCTTAGCCTTGAGAAGGGGGGAGTGTGGGAACCATGGGGTCCCCTCTATCCCTATCCAGGCCTAGCTTCAAGCAGGCCGTGGGAGTCGTCGTCACCAATGGCGTCGGCCTCCCGGATACAAGGAACCACGAGGCCGAATTCCCCGAAGGGGCCGGCTCTCCCTTGCCCATTTGGGTGAACGCGCCTTCGGCACACCCTTGAGAGTTATAATGGACGCGACTGCTAGTGGCCTCCCCGGGCGCGTCCATTCTCCGAGGCTACATAAGCTGGCCCCGAAGGTGGGCCAGGGAGCTCTCGTCGGCGGAGGCCCTGGCTCTACGGAGCTCGGTTTTTCTTTTGTGGGCCTCCGACTTCCCGTGAATCTGTCTAATGCGGCAGCGCGGGAAACCGACCGGGTGATACTGGCAATTGAGCCAGCTCCCAGACTTTTCATTGTCTAAGAGCGAAGCGTGCTGACATTGCAGTCAATAAACACGTCTTTATACGGACCCAAGGAACCTCCTTTGTGTTGCTAAGTGGTACACCCTCAAAGAGGAGAATCCCACATACTCTAGCATAATCCTTGGGGTTGTTTTGAAAAAAAAAATAAAAAAGAAAGCCATGACCGTTTTTACTTAGAGCTAAGAGAGTGACGCCAACACACTAAATCCCTCTCGTGAAAAAAATAAATAAATAAAAAGAGCGCTGTTTAAATACATTTGTCACAAGAGGCTGGATAAGGTCAATTTCATACCCAAATGTAGTTTACAGTGTTCCAGAAAACAATGTACATTGGAAATGAAGCATAGTGAAGTGGCCTATTAATCTCAAGGTCCTGTGCGTAATGGTTTCGAAAAAAAAAAAAAAAATGTTGCCCAGAGCTGAGTGACTCAAGCACATCAACCCCCCCCCCCCTCCCCCCCCCCCCCCCCCCAAAAAAAAAAGAAAAGAGAACAATTGTAATGGGTAATTCTGTAATCGATTACAGCAAAAAAGTAATTACAAGGATCGTTACTCCTTAAAAGAAGTAATTGAAGCGTTTAAAAATTACAATAAAATGTAATCGATTACAAGTAATCCACTACTTGTAACATGTTATGTACACGTCTGAATATATAACCGAATATTCGGCTATCTTAATCGGCACTCACGCAAGTATAAAAGATAAATCAGCTCCAATACAACTTCCTTCCTTTTTTCGACCACCTCTGACACCAGGGAATAGTAATGACGGGTGAGACTGCACGGGATATTGGATAATGTCGGGACTGACAACAGCCTGCTAAGAGACAGAAATATATTTCTGAATGGTCTCCATAATATTGACACAAAAAGCAAACCAATTGTTTTTTAGGGTCTTAATTACGGATAATATATTTCCATCTGTGTTTCCTGCATAAACGGTTGCACACGTTAAAACAAGCAACGAAAATAAGCCTTGTTAGTGTACGCAAGCTAATGTGACCAAGTGCTCGATATATAGTACCCTGAAAACCAGAACAGAGTGGTAAAATTGTTTTATTTTATTAAATTCGGGACACTATGCAACATATGACTTCGATTTCACTACGTCAAGATCCGAATTACAACAATGCTGACCCTTAAAAGGTATATGTACTATACAGTTGATGCTGATGGCAAGTGGCTTGTGCCCACTGCGCGAAACGAGTAATGGTAAAAGCAGATGGCGAAGCGCTCCGTTCGTTGCTGAAAATCGAAAATATGCAAAGCTTAAAGTTTAGTATGTATTCCTATTCCACCGTCATCCCTCAAGTATCTTGAAACATTCCCAGGATTCTATATGGTAAGATATTTTATCAACTGTCCATTGAGTGTTTTGTACGCGTAGACTACAGGCTCTTTTGTCTTTAAACCCGCTCGGTTCCGATTTTCCGAACGGTTCTTCAGATGCAAACGATCCGCTTAAACAAATATGAGCAATAATTGCTGCGAGACAGATTGAGCCCCTATCCTGCTTCTACATATGTCACACAGGACAGGAGGCAAACATCATCAGACAAACTTCACAGATCGCTGAAGTCTCGATATATTCAGCTCACTGACCAGGGGAAAAATACTGCCAGTGCAGTTTTTTTTATAGCCTTCCAATTTGTTTGGTCCACGATGTTCAATGTTTCGGTGCCGCCTTAATGTCTGGGCCCTTAATACAAAATTTAGTTATCTTCTTGAATTTGGTCATACGTTGTTTGACATTCAATAGATTGAGTTTTATACAACTTTTATAGATGTGATTATAGGTACAATTCGGTTTTCTGGAGCAAATCTAAGAACAGAGTAAGTCAGCGATGTCTGTAGTCATTTAAGTTTCTTATATTAAAGTATAGGATTATTGGTCGCCTTAAGAATACCACTTTCAATAACACTGTTGTCGAAAAATGTCGAGTAATTTCATATTTCCCTAAAATGAATTTGCTTTGATATATTAAAAAATATGGAACACACTACAAAGGATTTCGGTTATTGTAACAATATATTATTCACGTGCTTATCTATTTTATTACTCTTTTCTACACAGGAAGATATATGTTTGGACTCTTTTTGAAAGCCTTTAAATTAAAACGGGGAAAAGCACGTTAGAGCCACAGGAGAAGCAAGGCCACACCTCTCTCAAATTTATCTGGAGCACAGACCCACACACACACAAAAAGCCCTTTGATGCCATGGAGTAAAAAATAACTAATTAGAAGAAAACAACATAAACCCACGTGGCTTTGTACAAGGCAGCCGATCCGTTGTTTATCCTCCAGCCAGGTATATAATTCCTGAGCCGAATGCATCAAATTCGTGTGCCAGGTTCTTGCTGAAAACTTGATTTTCGCCTAACAAGCAGAGGTAAGTAGGGCAACGTTTATTTACTTTTTATTATAAAATATTAGCAACGACATCTATTCGCATCACGATATATTTTATGCTCCGAGAGTAAAGTAAATAAAAGCTTCAGCATCATCGATGTCGATTATTCGCAAAGGGCCTGCGTCTTTTAACGTTGCCATCACCACGTGAAAGAAGTTTAGTACTCTCAAAGTTAGAATAACGCGGAGATGTACGAAATAGCTTGACCACCCAGATATCACGTAAATTGAACGGGAAAAATCGGTCCCTACTTGATGAGGTGATGTGTTGGTATGGTAAAACTTGAATACGTATTGCCTTAATCGTAGCGAGTGAGAAAACGGGAGCGTGTGGCATAAAACACTATCAGAGCACACTAACGACCCGGAGCGCAACTGCAGCTGCATCGATGCGGATGCCTCGCAGTTTCACGCCGTGGCGTCAGAATGTTCTGATAGCAACCGATGGCTCGCTCGCCAGTGTTCAAGTTAACTGTGATTAGGACAGCAATATTAGAGCGCAGCTCTTATGCGCTCGTTTCCAGCTTGGGCGGTGTCACCGTCGGCGTAACCGCGCTTTGCATTATGGGACGTTTCCCATAATGACGTTACACGTGACCCTCCCTTCTGCACCCTCCCCTTCTCCTCCTCAAGAGCTGCGCTCTAATTCGGCATTACAGAAAATCGTAAACGCCTTTAATTTTTTTTTTTGTAAAAATGAACAAAGAAACAATGTTCTTGGAAATTTCAACATAGTATTGAAACACACGTTTGAGTCGTGCCGACAACCAGGGTGCCGAATGTAATAATTATAAAACTCCATTGCGGTGGTAGTCGATCAGATTGAATGCACAATTTAATTTCCATCTGAAATTAAAAATCTACACCGAGGTTAACGCCAGGACTAAGAAAAAAGAACACATACTGTACTTTGATATCGCAATCAAGCCGTCATATGCAGAATTGAAATGTATAACACACCGGGTTTTCATTACTTGTTAAAGGCCTACTTTCATTATTCACGTGACGTCATGGGATGTTGTCACGTAATGTGACGTTGCACCAAACAGCGTGACACCTAACGTTGCTGGGTTTAATAGAGCTGTTGATACTGTGACTCATGCGACAACGTGACGTCCCGTCACCTAACGTCGGAAGACGTCGGCTCACATGACGGGCGCAGCGTGATTAAACTTAAAATCAAAGTTAGCTTCCATCAGAATGCAATTTTGCTTAAAGGAGCTGTGCAACGATATTCAATTGGAATATTTTTTTCTCTACAAGAGCTTACTGGCACACCTGGGACTCAAGGATACTCACACGCAACGCCATTGGCCAAGAAACTCCTTTGTTGCGGTGTAATTTCAAGGAGAAAAGCGATCATTTTCATTCAATCTCTCCTTTGCAGAATTTGATGACGTAACTCGGGGATTGCAGTACACCCAAGTGACGATATTTGAATGCAGTTCATAGAATGGACCCGAGCATTGCGTGGGCACTCGACTTGGGCTCGTGACAATTGCTAGCTCGAGAAGCATTCGGGTTGTGACCCGTGTCCAATCGCTGCAACCACAACAGCCGAGCCATAACAATGTCTGGAACTCAGCGCGTGTTCTGCGCTTTGCCAACCCCAGCGCGTGGCTATGATCAACACTGGCGGCACATAATCGGCTCCAGATCACGTGGCCGCTTGTTCTGGCTGCGAGTTGAGGGGGTGAACGCTGCTCGTTTTTCTTAAATTTTTTTTTGGGACTTCTATTGCGTCGGGTAAAAAACGAACGCGCGTTTCATAGGTCATTAAAGTTAGGGATGCGTTTTAAGCGGTATTTGTGTGCAGTACAAAAATTGTTGCATCGCTTCTTTAAGGAAACCTTCCTCTACAAACTTGCCGCCAAGGTGTTGTTTACACCTGTTGTCTGCTTTCTGCGTTTTTTCTTACAAAACCGCGTGGCCCCACCTCCCAATAGAAGCAACAAACCTTTCACTTGGTCCAAGTCTTTTGTCCGCAGCGTCAGCGTGAGTTGCTAAAATTTCGAAGTGTAAATTGGCAACAAAAGTATAGATATTTGAAAAAGCTAGGTTGCTACGTGCAGAGGCTGATTTTTTTCAAATAACTTTACGGGGCGCTTAGAGATCGATACAATTCTATATTTTTTTTTCAGCGATATAACATTAATTAATCTACTTTCCAGATTGCGATCATCATGCTTTCGGAAGTCTCAATTACGCTGACGGTATTATGTTCATTGTTGTTTGTCAATCCTTGCTACGCAAGCATCGAAGAAGGCAACCCAACGAAGGACTTTTACGACGTACGTGAAAATATTCAGGCAATACATGGACAACTTCGTATTACAATAGGACTCTGACAAAGCTTCATAAGAGCCATATACAACTAAACCATCTTCGCTTTTACACTGTTTAATGTTAATGTCCAGCACTAAGCTTGTAAATTTTTATATAAAAACACAAATTCAGAAAACCTTCTTCTTACCATGGGCTGACATTGTTTGTTTGTTTGTTTGGTGCTGTCCAGATAGAGGAGGTATGGCCGGGAGATGTTTGACCTCCGTTGCGGGGCAAGTCACTTCCCGGCTACGGGATGGGGAAACCAAACTACAGCGTATACTTTATTGACTGCTCTTAATCAGCTGAGTTGGGAAATGATCGATTCTAGAAATATATTAGTGATAATCTTACGATAATTGTTTACTTTAAACCAAAGTTCCTACAATCAGTGCTAAATGTTTCGAGCTCAAGTTCTTTTTTTTTTGTTTACAACTGAGTTCCAGTGTACAGTGTGTGTTCACGATAGTGTGGGTTGTGTCACTGTGCTATTGCTTTAGTATAGCGTTGTTCCTTTCATATGACAGTCCACTCGTGTTTTGGACTTGACATTTTGTTCTCATTGTATAAGTTCCTAGCATTTTGTTATCATTCTACAAACTCCTTTGGTGCCCATATCACGACTGCTAGCTTGGTTGGCTAGGGGCCAGTCAAGCTACTTTCACAGCTTTTTTCCCTTATCACCTTTGAACATTTCATTTTGTTAAAAAATAAAGTAGTTATTTTTTATTAAGTATTATTAGTTGAAATATCAATCCTTCAAATATCATCTTTCACCAAATGCCTGACTTTACAGGGCGAATCTCGAACTGAACACCCAAAAACAAGGAAAAACGGGTTGAAGAGACAATAAATTGGTTGTGCACAATGCGCGGAACGACTCATGCTAGAAGCAGATAACAAAGTGCTGCGTTCATTGGTTATGATTGAAAAAATGCAAAGCTTAGAGTTTTGCATGTATTCCATCTTAAGCACGTCGAAACTTTCCTAGGATTCAATATAGAAAGATACTTAATATACAGTACCATGGAGTATCCTGTACACGTAAATTTCAGGCTCTTTTGTCTCTAAAAAAAATGGCCCGCTCGATTCCGATTTTTCGAAGGGTTCTCCAGATACAAACGATCCCGTGAAACAAATATGAGGAATGAATGTTGCGAGACTCACTAGGCCCTTATCCTGCTCCTACATCTGTTACACCGGACAGGAGGCAAACAACACCAGACAAAATGTCAAACAACGTTGAAGCCTCGGTAAATTCAGTTCATTGACCAGTGAGAATATACTGACAGCGCAGTCCTTCAAATTTGCCTGTCCCACAATATTCAATGTCTCGTCCCCACCTTAATGTTTGGCCCCATAAAACACAATTTAGATATTATTTTGGATTTGAATATATGGTGTATGAGGTCTAATACATCGATTTTTACAGAACTTGTGCCCTCACTTCCTTCGTTTTGCCCTTGTTTTTAGGCCCGCAGCAGTTTGGGAGTAAAAACCAACTCCCAACTTCCTCAGAGCCTTATGTTGGGAGAGTATGGCCAGTTTATGATCTCGCTGTCGTAACCCCCCCCCCCCCCCCCCCCCCCCCCCCCCCCTTCCTTCCCGAGTGAACGAATCAGCCCGTGGGGCAGGTTGCGAGGCGCGAGCGCATGCGCGTGAACTCCCGGCTGCCCGAAGCACTGCTGGCAGGGCCGCCATTTTTATTAATTCGTCCGGTGGACTGCAAGGAATCGTCATCCAAACTTCGCTTCTTTCCCTTTATTTTGCTGGCTCGGGCAAGAAAATTATATGGTGTTATTCCTCATGAGTTAAAAAGTTAACGAATGAAGTTTTCTTCAAGTATGACCGCAAACTTTTATTCAGGCAAAAAAGAAGTCGTCCCGTAGCAGACGACGCGTAGCCTCAACAGTGCTCGACGCCGAAAGCGCATTGCGTCAAAATGGCGGTCATTTCCTGTTTGCTCCTTCATTCCTCTCTCGCTCCTTCGGTTCCCTCTCCCCTTTTCTCCTTTCCATCGCCTTCGTCGCCACGCCTGCTGGCTAGACTTTTCTAATATACGGCTCTGAACTTACTAGTCTGCTGCAATTATTTTCTTCTACAACAGACCCTTTTATATGTAAGCCTTGTTTTTTTCTGCTTCTTCCTTTTAACCTTGTTTGGAAGCGTTCAGTTCGAGTTTGAAAACCGACTATCCAACTTACTATTTTTATGCAGGGCGAAATCTAGACGTAACAGGCGAAATCAAATTCTTAGGCAAAATATCGGCTAGCCGAATTTATTTTAGTATATTTAGGACAGAGTGAAATAATCCAGTATAGCTTTGGGGGGGGGGGGGGGGGGGGGGGGGGGGGTCCTTAAATAAAGGGGCACCATATCCACATGGGGGCCCCTTTATTTAAGGACTGCAGTCAAGTTCTTATATATGCATCACATTTCATACTTCCTGTAGAAGGTTCCTGTCAGCCATTGCTCTATTTTTACTCGGATTGTCCAAGTATGCGAATACAGTATTTTGACTAACGTAGTGCTAAGTTACGACATTCGCTATACTTGAGCCTTATTTTGTGCAGAGAAGAAATATCATTGACAGTGGTGCCTTCATAGTTGGAAAAGTTGCTTATGAAATTTTGTTTTAGTTATATATTTTTTTTTGCGTCCAGCTTTTTAGATTACTGGCTAAAAAGAAGCGTAGAAAAACTAGTTTGATCTCTGAAGCATACTTTTTTCTTAGCACGAAAAGCCGTGCAAAAACAAGAAAAGAAGCGAGTGTTTTTGCAGAAAAAAGATTGCATGTAATATTCTCAGTATTTGCACCGGAAGACGTTATCAAACGTATATCATGAAGTAGCTTAATTCATCTCTAAAAATAGGCAACTCATAATCTAAATGGCCCCGTAACACGTCGCGTCAAAATGTCGATACAAAGCATTTGATCCCTTCTATGCTTACCTTTACACACACAAACATATCGACATGCGTATAATTATATACGTTCTGGTGGTAGATCTTTTGCATGTTGCAACCACTCAGTCTAGTTTTATGTTGTCTCATGTAAGCTCTTGTTGGTTGAATTGTTAGCGCAGAGCCGCAGCAAGTTTTGTGTTAATATTTATCACATTGTTTTCTTTCAAGGATATGCAATCCAGGCCCATTCTCACATACGAGTGCTACAACAACGGCAGCAGTATTAATCCACCAAATTCGGTTAACTTGACAATTATCTGGGACGGAACATCTCCAAACACAACGCAAGCCTACGGTGTCATTTGGTCCGCGACAAAAGGAACGAAAGATTCTTATACAACGTACGTAGCTTCAAACTTCAATTAAGTATACTAATTAAGAACACTGTTCGAGAAAATGCTTTCACTACCTTTCGTAGCAGACACCGTCACTTTCCCATAGGAATATTTGAACGCTCTAAATCAACCGCAAGCGCGAAACAAATAAGGTGAACGCAGTCACATTAGATCGAGAGAGGATATTCAGCTCAGGTGTCATGCTAGATCCAGACTAGAAACGTTTTTGTGTGCGTAAAATGGTAGCTTTGTGTTTGCATCAGGGACTCAAACCGTAACCGTAACCGAAACCGAAAACCGTTTAGGAACGAAATTTTTTCTGTAACCGGAACCGGAACGAAACCGTTATTTGATATTTATAAAAACCGTAACCGTAACCGGAACCGTAAATTATTGACCGGTAACCGGTTTTAACCAATATTAACCGAAAAATAAACTATTAGTTTTTCTGAAGTATGACCTGGAGGAGGGATCTTAAATTGTTGTGGCCATTTGACAGAGTTACTGTCAGCGAGTGGTGCATCTGGTTACATATTTCCATTCAATCTGACTTTAGGATTAAGAATACTCAGATTGAATTAGTGGTCGAGCTTATAATTTAAAAAAAATTCTATATTTCTAAATCTGCCACACTCCTACATCGCTACATGTATTCAGTACGTGTCGCTTTCAGTGTATTAACTAATAAGTTCGAATTCTCAGATGTCCATCCAACTCGGTTCTATCAAAACCACCGATGTTCCTGACATGCAGTAGCCAGTATAAAGAAACGAGGTAAATTGGCCATCATGCAGAGCTGGCGGAAAAGAAAACCTGGGCCCGTTTGCTCGAAGCGCTAACCGCGGCTAAAGTTAGCAGCAGTACCTAGGAGAGGGAGTTTGAAATCGCGTGACTGGGGGCTGGGATGCCGGTAAGCATGGCGGCGCCCCGGTGCGTGAGCGCCGCTCGCTTTGTAACTAATATGTCGTTGTAGCTGCACTATCGGGCGCGTTAGTCAGCAACGAATGGTGCAGGAGGCTTTCGCTTTGCCTTACCTCGCTTAAATCGCAAAGTACGAGCAATGACTTCGCGGCATTTGTTGCATAGTCTTTCGATTCTGGCCTTTCTAAGCCTAAATGAACGCGATAAGTGTCGGCATGGCAACGTCTTTGGAAAGCAGATTGCCTTGACTCAATCGACCAGATATTAATAGTACACAAAAGAAGACCAGCGTCCCGCCCCGACAGACCTTTTTCTAAATTACCCAAGCATCGAGAAGAACGCTGGAAGTGTAATTCTATGGTCCGCGCTCGCTGTCCTTCCTCTTATAAAAGATTCGAAGTAAATAATCATTATAAGACTTGGACGAACGCGCGTGCAAGGCAAAATTTGTTTTAGACTTTTTCCTTTAGAACGATAGGCCCGTAGCTCACAAGTTTTGAGCAGCGCTGCAGGCGAGCAAAATAGAATATTTGGCTCGCGTTTCGAACATGCATCAATACGCTTCCCCACTAGAGTTTTTTCTACTCAGTTCCATTCTAAGTTCCAGCGTAGCAGAGGCTACAAGAGCGAGCTGCGAGCTTTCCGCGTCCCTGCCAAGCACGCGCGCTCGTGCAGTGCGAGCATCGTTCAGGATGACGCGCTTTTCCGAGTAGCTTCGGCTTCACTATCACGTAAAGTGAAATATACGTGCTCGCGGAAGCTGTGAAAGAAAGCAAATATGAAAGGAATGTTTAATGGAACGCTGCGGCCGCAAGCAGCATAATTCTGTTCTTTTTTTTAAAACTTTTTTTAGACGTTTTGTTACCGCACATCTACAGATGCTGACAGCGGCTTGTATTCGAACGTGGCACGTGCAAAATCGAACGTTACAGCGCCACACGGATGATGCAGCCAGCAAAACTTGGTCGCGTCTTGCGTAAGTCTTCCGGACGCGCTCGCGCCCCCTGCCCAGAGCAACGGGTATATTACTACTGCATACGCCAACACGCGCAATGACTGCAACTACACTCGTAGCATGCACCTCGGTGCTTGGGAAATTTGTGTGCTATCAATACAAGGCCGATTGAGTCAAGGCAATCCACTTTCCAAAGACGTTTCCATGCATGCCGACAATTATCGTGTTCATTTAGGCTCAAGAATGGCCAGAATCGAAATACTATCTAAAAATGCGGCGAGGTCATTGCTCATGCTTTGCGATTTAAGTGAGGTAAGGCAAAGCGAAAGCCTCCTGCACCATTAGCTACTAACTAACGCCCGCGATATTGCAGCTACAACGACATATTAGTTCCGAAGCGAGCGGCGCTCACTTTGCGGGGCACCGCCATGTTTTCCCGCATCCCTACCGATCCCTGTCACATGATCTCAGAATCCCTCTCCTAGGTACTGCGGCTAACTTTAGCCGCGGTTAGCGCTTCGAGCAAACGGGCCCTAAAGCCCCTGTATCCTGGGAAAAGTGGCGCCTTCATTGTTGTGGAAACGCGCGAGACACGTTCAGCGCGCCACTTCTGGAAAGAACATGGCGCCTGAAATCTAGCTCAGTGCTGCGCTGTGCCGCCATGACCTTCCCAAGGGATGTACGTTGCATGTGCCTCGTGCATCGACGCACTTTGCGCTACTTTTGAAACATGAAGGGGCTTTAATGGGCCCTGCTGTTCATTAATACTGTTTATGTTGTTCATTTAGTGTGAAACGTGTCGCGAGTGACGATTTTGAAACAACACAGAAAGAAAAAAAAAAGTCAGGGGTTTGACATTGGCGTTTTGTATTATATATACAATATATATATATATATATATATATATATATATATATATGCTCGGGCTGAGAGTGGTGGAAGGAGCGAGGAAACGTCAGAAGGGTGTCCGAGTTTTTTTCTTTTCCTTCCCGCGCCGAGACCCTTCTTCAAACCGAGTGGCACCCGCCGCCTAAAGCCCCTTCATGTTTCAAAAGTAGCGCAATGTTCGTCGATGCACAAGGCACGTGCAACGTGCAGCCCTTGGGAAGATCATGGCGGCACAGCGCAACACTAAGCTATTTCAGACGGCATGAATTTCCCAGAAGTAGCGCGTCGCACGTGCCTCGAGCATTTAACAACAATGAACGGCGCCACTTTTCCCAGGATAGAGGGGCTTTACCGTCGCCGGCACTGCCACGCCTCTCAGCTTCTCAACATGACAAAAGAAAAAGCCAAGGAGAAGGATGCCTCCTCGTCAAACGCGCCAACGCGCCACCCTCGTCCAACAGACATGGGATGCAATTTCTGCCTCCTTCGCCTGAACCTTGGGAGCTGCCCTGCTTCCAATCGTCGATGGCCTGGCCCAGAGCCGTTTATACTGAGAGAGTTTGGCCTTCTTAAGGAGATTTTGACAGTCTGACAACCACAGCAGCGTAGTCTGACAACCGGGGGATGACTACTTCCGTCCGCCATATTGTGGCTCTGACTCATAGGAACTCTACGCGATTTCTCAGGAATGAACAAGACAAAGAAGTAACGCCATATTGTGTTATAGCGAAATCCGCTTGTTCTAGCGGCCAACAAGCTCCGCCCATCGGCCAAACTCTCTCAGTATAAACGGCTCTGGCCTGGCCAATCTCGCCCCACACGGCCAGTAGTCTCAACAGTCTCTCTCGCAAAACTGTGAACGCGAGCTATTCGAACGTCGGCACGGTGAGCTCGAACATCCACAGACGCGCCGAGAGATCGCTTCCAGCATCGCCGGAGGCCTCCCCCTGCCACCGCCGGAGGTATGGCTTCTACGAGAATCATTTCTACCAGAGCCACCAGCGCAATCCAACTACCTCTGATAGAGCCCCCACCACCCACGCCGGAGCGAGGGTCCGTCATGCCTACGACATTCTGAGCGACCTCGACCAGGACACCCTAAGTTTCTCCACGAGAGACGTCCATGAGATCAGGCATCTCCCCCGCCATCGGTTCTACTGGGATGACATGCTCCCCGAACACCAGCACCTCATTTTCGATAGACTGGAACTCTTCCACGTCGTCGCGAGAGGGAACTGTAGGACGGCAGTCCTATCCCAGACGTCGAGGATTCGAGTCTGAGGTTTTCAGAGAGCTCACCGACCAGCTACCCAACCAGCCTCGACGCGGACGCCACACGCCTCGTGCTCCCGCGCACACCAGCTACCGCCCAGACACTAAGTCGAAGAGGCCCCCTAATCGTGAGTCCGGCCGCTACACTGAGTCTTCGAAACCCACCAGTGCCGTCATCGACGGCACAGTCGTCTCCTCGACGCTCCTGTGCGTTTTTCCTGTCGAAGACATTCTCGCCCATGCTCTTTGCGAGGCTGGCGTCTCGGCCGACCGTGCCCGAGCTTGATCTTGGATCGAAGAAAACGACCCAATGGATCCCGACTCGACAACCACCGCCACCGAGCAAATCCTGGAGTGGCTCAGCAGGACCGACAGTCATTGAGCCCCAGGCCGATGACGGCTCCTTCGACACGTACGATGGCAAGGAGGAAAACCACACCAACACAAAGGAACACACTACAGACAAACAAAGCGTCGTCGAAGACTCTCAGTCGGACCTGGGTAGCACTGCCTACAAGTCAAAAGCGACGGGACCTACACCGCCAGTCCACTCTACCCAGCAGGCACCTGAAGTCGACTGGGCAGTGTTTAGTGAGGCAAGTAGTTTTCACGGGCCGCCCGACTACGGCGGACTTTCCATTCGCTGCACGAAGGCTTCTTGCCTCACGGCCCGCCCAGCCCAGCTCTCAATTTTATTACTTCATTCCACTTAGCAGTATTTTACAAGTGGATGGCTGTAGTTCTGTTCCTTCCTTCAGTGAAGCGAAGACTCGCCTGCATGTATGAGGTTGAAATCAACTGTAGCGACGAGAAAGTGCGAATGGTTCTTCCAGCATCAAGTGGAAACTTTCTTAGGGTAATTGTTTATAAATGGTGCCAAACAACAGAGTAGCGGTGTTTATTTTAATTTTTATTATATAGAACGCGATGATCCCCGAGTACTAGAAGTAACATGTATGCTCGGGCATCAAACTAAATGATGTAAGTAGATGTAGTGAACAAGAGTTGGAGCTAGGAACGTGTGCAACTTCTGACCAATTAGAAGTATTAAGACGTTTCTAGGTTCCTTGTATTTCATGTTATTGGATATCTCAGACTACTTTAAACAGTTTTTTCTAAAATGGCTGTCTAGCATTTCAACTAGACAAATTATTGGAAAAACCGAAATAAACCGGTTTTTATGAACGTGTAACCGGTAACCGAAACCGTAAAAATTAAAACCGTAAAAAACCGAAACGAAACCGTTATCAACAGGAAGCGGTAACCGTAACCGTAACCGAAACGTTATATTTTTCGGTTTGAGTCCCTGGTTTGCATAACATGAATGTAACAGATGTTTTCCTGGAAGGACAACTCCGCTTCCTTCTCGGACTTTTTCGCTATAATAACCTTAGTGTAAAATGTTTCACGGTGCTTAATGAGTAACACGGTTTGTAAAAACGGCAATTCCACATGAAAGATTGTAGAATACAATTCATGAACGATTGGTTCAATCAAGTTGTAAACTAACCTCTTTCTCTCGAGAGCAAATAATTGGAGGGCCAAAGCCTATTTTCATGGCAAATTTCACCCGCCCTACCTCATAGCTCTTCTAACACCCTTCATTAAAAGACGCCTCTCTTTATTATGAAACATTTCGAACTACCAATTTCACATAATTTCGCGACTGTATGAACTAGGACACATCTTGTAAGTAGGCGGAGCGCAAGTTGGTCTGCTTCTTTTGTAGTGGTTGTGATGACGTCAGAAAGACGCCACGCTCTGATTGGCTCCGATTGAAGGATAGTGGGTAGATTTCAAAGCAAGCTGCCGCGAGGTCTACCCACTATCCTTCAATCAGAGCCAATCAGAGCTCAGCGTTCTGACGTCTCCAAAATTCCTGCAAGAAGAAGCAGACGACCTTGAGCTCCGCATAGTTTTACTCCATGGCGTGCTAACAATGATACTAAATCACGCTAAGGACTAGCTGGATAATTAATATATATCATACTTTTATGTACTTATGTAATGTGCTTACTGTAAATGTCTAGCCTGGTTATAAGCCCTACATTGTGGTTATTTTATTGCTGACGGTGGAAGAATTATGATTGCTATTCTGCTGAACAATGTGTAGAAGGTTCAAGAGTCAATTTCTACCCGTCATACATAAAAAGAGTGTATTTGTCAAGATCGAGAAAGCAACTACAACCTTATTGAAGTCATTGGAAATGACACTTTGTAGAGAAAGAGAGTTCTGGCCTGATTCAGAGGCATAGTCTGTAGTTTCAGCTGTCTCAGAGTGAGTCTAGTAGTGACCAAAAGATTGCAAGTTTACAAAAAAGTAGGCAGCTGAGAGCTTGTACACTGCTATATAAATATTGATCTCATTGCAGACAATTGCTTCAGACACATTACGATACTGCTCGAGGTGTAGCGGTCTTCTCCACTGACAGTAAGTAAATGCGTGGACAATGTTTGACTGCCGAGCAGAACATTTTAATATACCCGTAGTCACTAATCCCGTTTTTTTTGTCTCTTCAATGTCGTGTAGTAGTTTCCCGCATCAGTTGCACATTCCATAATGAGGGATGTAAACTATGTCAAACAGGAGAGCAATTGGTCTTATGTTCGAGCTTTCAGAGCTTAGAAGATGTAGTGTCAGACTGTGCAGATTATCAGCATCATCTTCAGAAACACTAAGAAGTTCCTCTTTTCATTATATAGAAAAAGAGCTGAGGTAAAATCACATCATATTTATTATGGCATCACAATACAGCACGCAAATAAAACAGCGCCCGCATAATCGAGTGCCTTGTTGTGCGAAAAATGGGAAAACCAAAGTAATTTTTTAATTGTTTTTTTAATGTATTGTGCCTCCATTGATAACTTCTGTATAGGTTATTGAGTTATTCTTCGCAAGCGTCTAGACCTTCTCCAATGAAGTCTCCCTTCCCTTTAAAAGTTTATGCAATCAAAATTAAGATGCCTAATTCCGGTCCTGTAACAGTGTTTGCTCCTTAGGTACTGTAACGTAAAGTTCCAGCTTTGTTTAAAAAAAATCATATTCATAGCTTTTTTTTTTTAACAGACCAATGCTTGTTGCGTCTGTTAAGATGCATTCAGAGGATGCCAGTTTTCAAACAACAATGTGAAACTGTGCACGACACTCTTCAAAGTAAATGCGAACAATTGTACAGTGTCCGGCAATATGAAAGACCCACTGGGAGCGCGTGGCCGAGGCGGTGGCGGGCGGAGGCGCAGCGAGCGCTCAGGGCAGTTCCGTTCTGCTTCGAGGAAAGGACGCTCACTCGGGCTCATCTAAAGCGACACGCGTTTATCAGATTGTGCTGAGCCCTCGTGAGCGTCCTCCCCTCGAAGCAGAATGAAATTGCCCGGAGCGCTCGCAGCGCCCACGCCAGCCACCGCCTCGGCCACGCGCTCCCAGTGGGTCTTTCATATTGCCGGAGATTGTACAATTGTTCGCATTGTACAATTTTAAAGCACTAAATTTAAGAGCCCTACTCGGTGATGGTAAGAGGGGCAGACGGAAATAGTGCCTTTATAAAAATGTATTAATGTTTATAAAGGACAACACCTTAATGATGCCATTTTTTTTGTACCGCCCTAGATACGTATGCGCATGACTTTGGTGATGAAGAATTTGAGGACGGACTTTATAACGGGTAGTGCTTATGCTTCGAACTTCTAGGTTGTGACATATGTTTCACGAAATTAAGGAGCGCCATAATAGTTAACGTGTGTCAGATTGTTATTTTTTGATGAGTGGTCACCCGGCGCGAGAGTTGAGCTTTGATTGCTCCATCTCCACGCATTTTGGAGTGGTGGGATGGATGATCGTATGCAGCCCTTGTGAACTCGAACCGCGGTGTAATTAAGTAGGAAGCAAAAACAGAAACTTCGAACGAATGTGCATGATACCAGATATGCTAACAAATGGGTTATTTTATTCAGCATATATTTGTGAAGTAAGTTTGAAAGAATTAACTATAATTAGGCACTTCATAAGTACAGAATTCGAGGGTGTTAGTAATTTTACGCAGTGTGGAGGAGAACAAACGCAAGACGTTTACAACTCCCTATAACGCCGATTTAGAGCGCAACTCTTGAGGATTGTTGCTACTCGTATATAATGAACCTATTGCTGAGCACACCACAGGTGTCAATAAAAAGTTATTCAATACGTGTAAAAATTTACTGAGGTTGTGCGAAAGGATCTAAAAAGAATGTATTTATATACATATACGTTATAATATCAAGGGTTTAGATAAGCAAATTAGATACGTGAAGAAATCGAGTGCCAATTCCAGCTTTTTGGCTGTTCGTTCGAATTTTAATAAAGGCGTATGCGTAGAAGTCGTGGCTTCTCCTTGCACGAAACCGAACATTATATATAAATTTATGTTTTACGAAAGCATGTCATAAACAGGATATTTAGCATGTTATTGTCACGCGCTATTTTTAAAGACACTTGCCCTAATAATTGCTGTCACGTTAGTAGTATTTACATACGTTAACTAAAGCGGACATATAGTATCAATCTATTGTTAAATATATAACTAAATAGATTTAATATAAAACAAACATTTTAAAACGTTTAGTCAATCCGTGGGGAAAAAAATTCAATAGGGAGCTTTAGAATAACTCGCGAAATTTTAGCGCACGCGAACGTTAAATTTAGCGGTTGCGTTAGCGCACACTATGGAAGAGAGTTTTGGAATAGTGTTTCTCAGCCGCGACCCGAATGTCCAAGCATCTTGCGCTTGCAACGCTCCAAAGATACAGTCACAATTTTTAGTTTACACACGAAATGCTGTAACTTGAGAGAAAATAAGTTTTTTTTTTGGTTCAGAGTAACATTTCTTTTTGTTTAAACATGAAAATGAGACACGAGCGGTCGACCGGTCGTGTCCGCTTGCGTCGCCTCGGCAAGAGAGGTCTAGTGTACTGACCTTTGCACATTGTTCCTTCGCTAAAAAATGTTCGCGCGTCGCAAGCATCAAGCTTCCGGCGATTGTTGCCCATCTTACTGGGTTTTCCGAACCGAGTGCAATGCTGTCCCGTATTAAAAATGGCAGTCACGAGGATACCGCCGACGTCGCCTTCACGACACCACCAAGGCGGCCGCAGCTATAATCCTGGGAGCCGCCATTTTTAACTGTGCTCGTCTTAGCTTTAGCCAACTTCTTATCACGAATCCTCCGTGGAGGAGTGCAAAGACTCTTTGTGTACGCACGCAATTTCCTAAAAGATAGAGTACGCTAAAATAGCGCACGCAAAGCGCAAAACGTGGTTAGTGCTCGGCGCATGCGTACTGTGGCGACAACGCTATTCTTTGCGTACGCAAACACTTAGCGTGCTTTATTCTAAAACTCTCTAATATTGTAGTCCTTTTTATTCTCATTGTTTCTATTTATCAGATGGAAGAATGCTCCTTAATACATAAAACAGACAACAAAGTAATGTTTGTAATTAGCCACTTATTCAAAAATTACTTGAGACATACAATAAAATTTGACTTTATCGCACAAAAGGAACGTATTCGAGGTATTCTTGTTTTCTATATTTGGATAGTAAAGTGTGTTGAGATTTTAACCAAAACTTGATTATAGTTTAAAATGTGTACTTTTTGGGAAAAGTCACAAATTTGAAGTCAATTAAAATACATTCACTAAGTCCCACGTCCTTAGACCGATTGCAGCTTAGAAACATTGTATGTTTCTAAGCTGCAACTTCTGAGTTCATTTTAATAAGAGGTATTTGCAATTTGCAGCGGTTACAGAAGATATAACAGTTGGAAGCAAGTTCGAAGGCAAAGAACTTTTCTTGAAGATAAGTATGTATGATCATTACCTGGGTTCCACTTTAACCTAGACCGCCATAGAATACTGACATAAACATTGATCTTGAAAGAAAAAAAAAACGTGAATGCTTGTATTTATTGCCATCATTTCAAGACAGGAAAACGTGCCCTTTTTTCACAACCATACCACACGACAGCAACGTGTGAAACAGGTATTACCAGTTTTCTCAGTAATAGTATATAACCTGCAAAATAATGCGTTCCAGACAACGATGTCTTCTCTAATGTCAATCAGCAATGCGTGGCATTTATTCAGACAGGTGGCACAGTGGTAAAGGCTAAAAAAATGAAAACCTTTCATGACGGGTTTTATAAATTACCCATGATCTTACCCAGTGATAAATTTGCGAAAACTACACCTTTGTCTACAAAGCACAAGGAGATGGTGGCTGTGCTTTATAGATTGATTTATAATAATTAGGCGTTCCTTCTAGCTTAACATACGCATTTGGAATATGTAATATTTAGAAAATTTAAAATAATTAGATGTAGAATGCATCACACGTCCATCCTTAATCTGTCAAGCAGTGACGCGCAGCGAATATTCATAAAGGCCATTCGGATAAGTTTTTCGCTATAACGCAACTTCTAGATTTGGTGCCGGTTGGAAGTCAGAGTCTGGTGATTCGTGAAAATTTGAATTCTACCGGATGGAAATTCATAACATACTTAAATGGTCCCTTTTTAATTAAACCATTTTACAGACTCCGTGCGTAGACGTCCAAACAAAACAAGAAGAATAACTTTGCAGCAGTCAGGACATAAATAGTTGTTTTGTAGGATATGACCACATTAGAGAAATATTAAAAACATGTATATAACATTTTAAATTTAATTTTGAAGTAGCGTTGCCATTACATGGTGGTGAGAAAAGTCATTATAAGAACCGTTTCCTTGCTGCTCGTTTTGTCCGGTTTTGCATCTCTTGAAACTGACATTGTATGACGTGTAGCATTTGTTAACACCAACTGCAAACAGTGTAATGCGGCCTAACTGCCACCTAATCACGGTAATTAAAAGATGAAGAAGAAAACAAAAAAGTTGCCTAAATTTTTCAGGTCTTCGGGAGTATTGCCAAAACACAATTTTACTATTTCTATTCGAAGTACAGAAGAAAACATTACTCTAACATTTTTATGTAAGAGAACAATATATAGGCTGGTTCCAATTCGATTTCACGAAAGTTGTCGGGAGGGGAGGGGAGGGGAAGGTCATCAGAAACCTGTATGTGTTAGCTCTATACCTTCGATGGACAAAACAGCCCTTGAAAATTTTCAAGCAAAACATTTCCGCAAAAAGAAAATCCGAAGTGCCAGAGGGTGCAACGTGTCAAATACTCAATTCGCTTTTTCTCAATCTTGGATGGCCTTTCAAAATTATTAGCTTTACGAAAGCGGCTATGATATTTTTTACGCTGCAGCGACTGTTACGGAGCGATTTTCTCAATGACACAGTAAGTTTTAGCTTTTATAATAATTTTTGCTTAAATTAGCTTATTGCTGACTGGGGCAATTTCGCCTCCTGTTTTAATTGATCCAGGAAGCGAACCGCTAAAGATAATGACATAAAACAAGTAACAGTGCATAACTAAAATCGCAAGCTATCTGGGGGTGCAACTGATGTATTGTTATTGGTTATGAAACATATCATATATAGCTCAAAACTTGTTTTGAGATATTTTAAGTTTAATCTAAAAAAGGTAATTTTTTATTATCTTCTATCTTTTTTTACATGATAGCCGACAAGGTCTAAAGATACTGGTTGTAAATCTTGACAACTTATAACATGCTGGTAATATGGGGGATAAAGGGAATCAACAGAAACGCCTTTCGGGCCTTTAGGTTTTTTTTTTTTTTTATCGCTGGATCTAAGTCTCGAGTGTAATATATTTGTTGTATTTCGGGAACAACTAGTTGAATAAGCCAACGTTAGGTCTGTCACTCAATCATAGGTTCAACAATGCTGGCTTCACTGCAACCACAAGTGGCCTCAATAATAACCGATGTTTTTGGAAGGACTTTACCATGATTTATTTGCTGTTATATATATGCTCATAGTAACTCCCGAAATATCCTAGGGACGTTTTGGAGGAGTATAATTAATCATTCGTGTTAATAGTAAAGCCACCTATACACTCTGAGAGCGATTCGAGCCAGGCGTTATGTTTCAAGCTCTGGCAGTCGAGTCTTTTTATATTAACTATTGCCGGAACACAGTGTGACAGGAGAAAAGCATAATTTAAAAATGAACACTAGGGAATCATTCATAAAGCTGTTCAGTACACCTCTCTTCCGCGATACACAGGAGTGTAAAACATATATATGTGTTGGCGTGATAATTACATTGTTTCACTTATGAGCACGCCGCCTATTTCTTGCACAAACGTGAACTGTTTGAACTAGTAGAGCATATTTTGTTTTGTTTATAAGCTTAAATATATCAGACACAGTTGAGCTGACAAAATGGAACAACACCAGCTGCCAAGGCATCCGCCTTTATGGTACGGCAAAAATTCCTGCAGGCGTTCTTGCCGTGTCCGGAGGCAGAAAAAATCCCCTTCACCCTCGGAAGACCGGCTCATTCAAACTCATAGAGCTGAAATCTACTCTTAAAAGGAGCAGGCGCTCCCTTATGTATATACGGCAGTGGCGCATAAAGCGGAATGTATTCAGTCAGTCTTAAATGCATCTCAGAGAGAGTACCGCGTGGGGAGCTCCATGGTACAGGTCTTCGCACACAACACCGACACATTTGGGACCTTGCGAGATCGACGAACGCAACACGTGTGAACAAAGAGATCGACATGAGAATGGCGATAGTCGACTCTGCTCGTCTCCTCGTCTTGACAACAATGACTCAACAGAACCAGAAAAGTTTGGCGTACTGAATCTCAAGTTTGAGGTCCTTTGGTGAGAGAAGGATGGCTGGGGACGGCTCACCGGTACACAGACTCGGTCGGAGGTCAACAAAGCTTATCGCGTGGCGAACTCTCTGGCAATCACCGCTGAATGCTAGAGAGCACATGCTGATCAAAAGGGACCATCGTTTACGTCACTTCGATGAACAAGGTGCCACTTATAAGATAACTGAAATAATACTTAAAAGCTGGTGATGATTCATGGTAATAAAACCCGAGACTCAGGTTTTATTACCGTCCCCTTCTGTGTTCCTGAGTCTCAGGTTTTATTACCATGACTTATTAGATGCACGTTGATACGCCATTTCCGGAAAAACAAACACTTTTTTCTCTCATTTCGAAGACACTTCCTTTGAAGAACTTAACGTATCTGTGAGGTGCAAGGAAAATGTTGTTACTGAAATAGTGCCAACTCTGGTCAGATTCTAAGAAGTTTATATCAATGTATATATTATATTTCTGATTTGTGTAACTATGGAAACAAACTACAACCAAATAGCCCAGTCTCTTGGTGAAGCGTCGGCTGCCGCTTTAAGGCTTATCGGAATCTCTACGTTATTCCCACCAGCATCGCTCTATTCGTGCTTCATAGTATAGGGCTTGGCCAGAAGCTTCCTCTAGCTATTGAATTTTAAGGCAAAGTGGCAATGCAATAGAATATAGCTTTTTTTAGATATATCAGCATTTTTTTCTATTTTAACGGTTTTTGCACAATTATTCACTGGGGATTCATTTATCTATGCAACCGGCTATCGTAAATGATATTTGCTGCGTATGCAAGTTAGATTATTCATACTTTGCTCTAGTGATTTATACGGTAAGAACAATCGCATGCCAGAGGTTGTAATAAAATCTTCTGGTTCGCCCAGCTCTCAGACTGCAGGTGGCATACTGTTGTTATGAATGTTTTATTTTAGCCCCCCCCCCCCCCCCCCCCCCCCCACGTAACTTCTCTCGGATACTACAGTAGTTTTGTGAGAATATAAACAGCAAATAAAGTATGGTAAAGTAGCTCCACAAACATATGTTATTGAAGCGACCACGAGCATTGCGGTGAAGCCAGCATAGTTTAACCAATAATTGATGAACAGGAAAAAATTTGGCTTGTCCCAGAAATGCAACAAACATATTGCACCCACGACTTATATATAATATTTCTAGACCTTATAAACTATCAGCAAAAAATATAGCGAAAAATAAGAAAAAAATTGCTATGTTAAAAAAATTGGCTTAGAATATCCAAAAACTTTGCAATGGTAAGAAATTTCAATTTCAATGTAAATTTCTTGTAAACAAGACCAAGACAAATTTTACACCACCAGAGAGCTTATGATTATAGTTTTACACTGATATTTGCTTTGTGTTAGTAGGCAATAAGTAGGCCTTCGTGGCCATTTTTGGTCACTACCAGAAAATAAAGTATTATTATCGTTATTATTATTATTATTAATAATATCGGTTCGCTTATTGAAGAGTTTCAAATTGGAGCCAAAATTGCTTCATGTAGCAGGCTCGTTATTTTATACGAAGAGAACTGCACAATCCAAAAATTAATGCTGTATAAATAAAAATGGTTCGAAACATTTTTTGAATTGTGAAAATGTATATTAGCTGCTTGAGTAATACCAACAGTCTTGAAACGTTCGTCAAAGTTGAGAAAATCAAATCAAATTGAGTTTTAGACGCATGTCACACTAGCTCTGGCACTAAATCTCTTTTGGTGTGAAACTTTTTATTTTTTAAATTATAGTTTTGTTTACCAAAAAAATAAAGCTCCCGTGTACGATAATAAAAAAAAAGATCGGACCCCCCCCCCCCCCCCCCTTGTCGCCTTTTACATTACGAAGTTTGGTAAAAAATTTGTTTTGCAAGCATTCGTGTGCAGATAGCAGAAGACACGGGGGGGGGGGGGGGGGGGGGGGGGGTGGACGTATTCGTATTCTGGGAACGTTTCTATAGAGGCTATGTTTATATTCCCAGAATGTTAAAAACTTTTAATTGCTAAATTAACCGCATAAAGGGTAATTTGAGGTCACCAATGAGATATTTGGTTCTTATTTTTCAGATGTCTACGGCGGAGACACTGTCTACAAAATCTACGACGTCGATTTTCAATGCACCAATGCCAAGGCATTCTTGCCAGAGGCCTGTCCGTCTGGCTGCGGCTTGGAGTTGTCTCGCGAAGTGTCTGACGAGTGAGGTTCCTGTCATTCGAAATTATTCCAGGGGTTCAGTGTGCTATTTCAGCCGCTTGATATATACTCATATTCAAGAGAAAATCTGCAGATATTCGCAGCATTTATTTTATTCCAGACAGCCAGTTTCAGCGCACATTTACTCTATCATTTTGTCATAGTAAATTGTTACCCACCTTTTATGAATGTAACCACTGCAAGAAAAATAAACTGTCCTCAACGACAACTTCGACTTTAGTTGCTGTAAGGTACTGTAAAACCCTTTACCTTCGCGGCCCCTATTTTTCGCGGATCGGTCACAGATGACATTATCGCGACCACTAAATTTCGCGAATTCTCTAATTCGCGAAATTTGCGAAAATTGAGGGCTCACGAACATTAAGGGTTTTTACACTATATATCTCCGTTCTAAATTCAGTTTTCAAATTGCATGTCAACGCCTTCTCACATAGTGCTAAAACTGTTCATCGTGTTTTTTTTTTTTTTTAAATAGGATGCCTGAGGTATAAAGTTTATTTCGGATACGTTACTTGAGACTTTGTGTTTCTCCCCCTTTTTTGCCTCCGTCTCGGGTTTTAGTAATTCGATGAACAACCTACTCGCCTGATTAATGACTTTACCTTCCATGTTGTAATAGTTTCACTTATGAACCGTTTGGATAGCTTGGTCTCTTCTCGGTTAAATAGATTAGATGAGGCAGGGGCGGAATTTCGATGAAATTATTTCTAGGGCGATTAAAAGTTTTTGGGTATATCTTGAATAAACCTACCTAAATGCGAGTATATAAAAAATCTTAATAATTTGCGCTCTTAAGTTTTCAGTCAGCAATAAAAACAGAGCGTGAGCATTAATATGTAATAGCTCTAGTCACGGCCGGGCTGGAGGAGTTTTCCGCTCCCCTCTTACGGCCTCCTTCTTTGTCCGGGAATCAATGGAATTTTTTTCTCCGTGTGCAGTTTGTTTGCGTGCCGCGTGAGGGCGTTACCACCTCAGTACAGAAGCTAGAGTTCAGTGGGGAAAGCCGGAAAAGGATGAGAGATAGGCTCCCCAGTCTTGTGCGGCCTTATCTCATTGAGGACGCGGCGGCAAAGCTTCTAGACCTCTTCGATAACAGCGACGAAAAGAAGAATGCGACAGGCCGCTCGGAATATATGACTGTGCTCAATGGCCTTATCTGGCGGCCCTCGAAGTCCCAACTCACCAACGGAAGAAGGCGGAGGAAGCGCAGGCGGGACTCTGAAGTGAAAACGACCATACAAGCCAGGCAAGCAGCCAACAGGAGACATTGTCAGACGCTTCGACAAGGAGATGAGGATGCAATCGAAAGAAAGTTCGAGTTGTATCAGGCATAGTAGAAATACGCCAAACAAGTGGCCCAAAAGAGAGTGAGGACGGCTGACCTGCGAACCATCCGTGATAACCGTGCCTGTGGAAAAAACGCAGCGAAAAATTTCTGGACCTAAATGAATACACTGGTGGGACGAGAGAAGGCTAATATTAGTTTGGATAAGTGCACGAAAGAGGAAATCCAGGACTGGGACATGTATCTCGCTGGCTACTTAAATGATCTGTTTTCTTCCGAGTGCGCAACTCCTGACAGTAATGCCCAAAAGACTGCTGAGTCCCAATATGACACCAACCAGCGAAAAATCGGGGATATGAGCGTGCTGCGCGCAAACACTTCCCAGCCACTGGATAGTGGACCGGAAACTGTCCTCAAAAGTTTGGGGTAGGATGCCAGACAGCAACTAGCTTCAATCCTGAGCGCTAACTTCTGGAGAATGAACCCATACCACCGGACTGAGATGTGGCCGGATTGTCTTTATCCCAAAGAAATGGAGCGATCGGCATCATCTGCGCAGCTAGCAGCCCCTGACAGTTACTATGATAGTGTACTGAGTGTTTGCCTCAAGGAACGATTGACAAGCATGGGCAGAAAAGGGAGGACACCTCACTGAAGTTCAGGGGTCCTTGGACGGGGCGCCGGCTTGACGACAATTTGTTTTCCATTACGCAGTGCATTGAGGTGGCCAGGAAAGAAGACAGACAACTGCTGTGGTGCTTACTGGATGTTGCAAAGGCCTACGACAGTTTCCCATGGATACGAATATGAATATGGATATGGATCTACGGCTTCCCATTTGTATCGGGTGATCACAGACACAGCATCGAGACCTAGCCAGTCGCCTCCTCTGCTACTTCCGCTTCCGCCTGAAGCTCTGCTGGCTCGTCCGGTCGGTTGATGTCCCGCTCTCTGAATGGTTGGGTGCCCTCACCCTTTCTCCGCCGGCCTGTTTCCCGCCCCCTGACCTCAAGTCTTCGCTTAGTCACTTCCACCACCAGCGGGTGTCCACTTGGTTTCTCTCCTCCGTGTCGCCACCAATTCGGAAACCGAGCGCAACAGGCAACGCCGTCGTCTGGGGGTCCGGTATTATGCTCTGGGACTGCAGTACTAGGTGTTCCGTCGTCTCCGTGTCTCGTCCACAGGGCGTGCACATTTCGTCCAGTGCCTGGGTGAACCTGGCCCTCACCACCCGTGCTCGCAAAGTCCCCATGCGTGCTTCTGCGAGGAGCCCGCTGCCCATAGCTTTGTCATACCACGGCACCTTCTCTACAGCAATTTTCTCTGCTTGGAACACTCCGAGTATAGGTTTGGTCGGCGTTCTTGTCCTCCACCTTTCCGCCTCCACCGCACGAGTGTCCTCTCGAAGTGCCTTGGGGACCACTTTGTTCTCGCCCGCCGCCTCCAGCCAGATTATGATAAATAAATACTCGCAGTCCTCTTAACCTGTGCATCAAATTGTCGAGTCTCTCCATGTACAAAAGGTAACACATGGTGCTACAGGCCCACTTCTCCCCTCAGAGTTTGTGTATGCCTGTCTCATAGCGCGCTTTGGCGTAGGCCTCCCTGGCCACAAAAGACGACCAGCCAAAGTCTCCCTGGATTCCCTCGTTGGACACCGTTCTTGGGACCGCCAGGGCATCCTTCCTGCGTAACTCTGTCTCCTCTCCAAGAACACTCTTGTTGGGGACGAGAGCACTAGCACGCCGTTGGCATACGTGATTCCCTGGACTATGAGCAACTTCCCCAGGACCCGCACCCCCTCGAACCTGCTGCATCTCCAGAGCGTCCTTCTTCCCAGGACCCCCCTGCCCTGAGGGTCTTTGCCTTCGTGTTTTGCTCATAGACCCTCAGGTTGTCCGGTCCCACTGCAAGGTTCAACCCCAAGTATTTGGTAGTATCTCGCTCTCGATAGGTTCGTCTAGTGCTTTCTGATTATGTAAGGTCTGCTCTCCTAAACGTAGGATATGGCACACTTGTTCTGGCTGAAACGCAGCTTGAGGCAAGCAGCAACCTCTCCACAGATGTTCAGGAGCCCTTGCAATTAACCGGGCGAGCCGGCGAGGAGCACCATATCGACGGCATACGTGAGCGCCGGCACCCTCTGCCTTCTCCAGGTCTCTTCCACCTGTAAGACAGATCGACACCTTTTACCCACCGTTCCAATGCTTTCTCCAATGGTGCCAATTACAGCATGAAAAGAAGAGGGGAATGCGTGCACCCCTGCCTAAATACTCTGGACATTGGCAGTTGCCTCGTCTCGTGGTCCCCACATTCCATCTGCACAGAGGTCCCTGCGTACAAAGCCTGTAGTAGTTCAACATCCGCGTTGTCTAGTACCAGCCCCTGCAGTCCTTTCCGTAGTACGTCAAGGTCTACCGTGGAATATGCCTTATTAGAGACGTCTAGAAACGTTGCACAGAGAGGTCTTGCCTCCAATGTCGCCACTTCGATGTACTGCGTGACCACGAAGATATTGTCCGGATCTGCCGCTCACACAGTGTTTGGAGAAGCTAGGGCTACCATCGCCGTGTGTATGACGGCAACCATCGCCGTTTGTATGACGGCAATATAGCGCGAACAGAACTGGAAGGAGCCGAATCAGAGGAGGTGACTATCACGAAAGGACTCCGACAGGGGTGCACATTTCCCTGCTACCGTGTATGCTCTACGTCGCAGAGCTGGAGAATCGGCTACTCAAGTCGGGAGTGGGCTTCTCCTTAGCCCACCTGGAGCGCAGCGATCGGGTGAGCTGGGTACTGCTTAGGCCTACATTCGCCGATGACATCATGCTCATGGCCGAGACTGTCGAAGATAAGCAGCGATTGCTAATCATATGTGCAGCGGAAGGTGATGCACAACACCTAAGCTTCAACGCCGCAAAGTCAGCAGTAGTTCAGTTCGCAGGGCCCCATGAAGGTGGCGACGCTGTTCTGGTTGCAAGCTCATACAAGTACGTGGGCGTCATCCTCTTCGACTCTCCAAACTACCTTGGGGAGCACCAGTCAAACGTCTTCCGCAAACGCAGCCTGTGGAACTGTGACAGGTTCTCAGTAATTCGGGAGGTGTGGAAGGCAGTGATGGTCCCAGGGCTGACTTTCGCTTATGCGGTTGTGTGCGTCCCTGGTGACGTGCAAGGCGCCATGGAGCGACGACAAACTAAGGTGGGTCGGCGGGCACTGGGTTGTCATGGGAACGTCGCCAACGAGGCCGTCCAGGGGGACCTGGGGTGGTCTATTTTCGAAGCCCGAGAGGCTTCCAGAAAGCTGGAGTACAGTGGACAACTGTGGCACATGAATTGGTGCCGGTGGGCCAGAAGGCTATTCGACTACACCCAGATGACTGGACTACGGACACCGTGGAAGAGGCGTCTCTACCATATTGAGAGCAGGTACGGCTTTTTCGCAGAACCCGTGGAGGCAACAAGAGTGCTTAAGTGGGAAGTTGAAGTGCGAAGGAGAGTGCGTAAGAGGGAGGCCCACCAGCGGCTCGAAGCGGCTCAGGGAAAATAAACCTCGTCATTCTACAGGGCCAAGAAACAAATAATAGCGGCAGAAACCAAACTCAATGACACCAGTTTGGCAGCCGAGTGTTCTTCGAAGCGAAAGCGGGAGCCCTGCGAACACTGGTCTACCAGAAACGAGTTGACACCAAGGTGGAATCTGCTCTGTGTCGGTCGTGCGGGGACGGGGCTGAGACAGAGAAGCAATTGGTGTTCACTTGTGAGTGCCTTCTACCACCTGTGATGGACCATCGTCATCCTCACCCCGAAACAACACTTGCGGACGCTCTGGAGTTCACTTTGACTCCAGATGCCAACAGTGCCGACACGCGTGAGGCAGGCGGAGCCAGTCAAAATACCAATACAAGTTACAACCGAGGTAGCCACAACA